GCAGCACCTGTCTTTTTCAACGGTCTCCCCTCGTACTTAAAGAAAGAGCTGGTACGGCTCGAGAAAAGAACAATATCAATAATAACCTCAGGAAAGTGCAACTCGGCAATAGAGGTGGGGTTAACAACCATTTTGGAGCATTATTACGTATTATTTTTACATAAGCTCGGATTTCTTTGTTCTTTTCGGGGGGAATATATTACATAACCCCCGAATCAACTGTCTAAGAAGCTGGGTGTGGCTTTGATTGTTTGAAGGGAAGAGCGGGGCTAATGAACAGCTAATTAAAATGCGAGGGGATTATATATTAATATGCAAGGGGGATAAGTGACTTATTCCCCTTGAATATTAATAGATAATCCCCTCGCATTTCAATCAGATTTTCATAAAGAAAAAATTCACAAATGGTTATTGGAGATATTAAACACGACGCTATAATTACTAAAACTAAACTGAGCTGCGTTTCTTTTGCGCCACATTCACGAATTTTCTTAGTTGCTGGTTCATCGATTTCCACAGCCAGAACGACAGTCCGAAATTGAACAGCGTCTTGAAAATTCTACGGTTCCACGAAAGTGTCGCTATCATGTTAAGGTGTTCCGTTCTTTAACCAGTCATCCCAAACTCCTGTACGCAATGAAGACATGTAGTTGACCTCTTGTGTTTTGTGGTATTCTTGCTTCATTCCTCGACTGAATTTCCTTCGTAGTTACAGTAGAGAACCATCGCCCGGAATCTTCTTTATCTGTAAACATGCAGGTGGGTCGAAAGATCCTTGGTGCGAAAATTGAAATTGTCAACTGCTTGCTCGTTGTCTGCACCCGCAAATGAAGTTTCAAAATCGTTTTGAGAAAGCTCAATTGCAGTACCGCCATTAAAGCTGCTTTAGTTTGAGTAATAAACGGCTCTACTTCTGATAGATCTGAATCGTTCGACAATGCTAGGCTCTTTAGGCTATTTCTAGCAATCACTACGAACAACTAATTCGAAATGCGACTTTGAAAAACTAAACCTACAATTAAAAAGCCGAGAAACTTGTGCCGGAATGCCACCAGTGCCAGCATGGAGTGTTAAAAAACAAAAGAAAAATGAACAATAGAGACATTTTTCGTCAAAGCATTTTTGCATCCCTTGAGAAATCCTCGCCAATGTAAAAATAAGCCGTTTATCGCCCTTCAGCTCGTGGTTATGTGATTTATTCCCCTCGTGCGTCGCCCTCGGGCAACGCACGAGGGAAATAAATCACATAACCCCTCGCTTCAGGCCGATAACCCTTACGTGATCCAAACCATAAATTGAAGGCACTCCTTCCACCAGACTATGACAACTCACGCTATAACCTAAGACGACAGCGCCTTTTTAATATGCCAAAACTTTGCACGAACAGAACAAGTAATACTTTTATATATGCGATGTCGAATCAGTCCGGGCTGTAGTTTTATCCCACTTCAGGGCTGCTGCCCACTTCAGGAGCCCACTTATATTCATGCTTTATATTTTAACATATTTCAGTATGAACATGTTATATGGAATTTTTAATATTATCTTAAAAATCAGTTTTCGACTTACTATCTAGGATTCATTTGTGATTTTCAAGTATTGTAAAGTCTTTGTAAAATAATTGCGTAATTCAGCCTTTGGCTGCGATGCAGTTTTAATAAACTCTCTATCTATCTATCTCTTAAGGTGGCTCGCAAAAGTTTTTTAGGGTCAATATCTCAGCCATTTGCGCTGAACTATGTGCCCATAAACAAAGATTTGGAAAAATTGCCACCACAGTTGCATTAGATAAAGATAAAAATTTGTTAGGATCACTTTGATCAAGGTTGCAATGACATCGGAGTTGTCATAGCAACGAAATGACGCCATTACCTATTTTTTATTTCTATCTTGATAACGCTCATCCTCGGAGACCCAGGGGCAGATAGTAGGGGCGAGGGAAAGTCTAAACGGGCGGAAAAATATAGCACGAAGAAAAGTAAAGAACGGCGAGAAGAGCCCCTGAGGACAATGTCTTACCAGACCAGTTCTAAACGGTCGCCGCCGTTCTGGCTTCTGATTGGGCAGAAAAACACAAACGTTCTCTGGCACCAATCAGAAGCGAGAACGGCGGTGACCGTTTAGAAGTGGTCTGGTAAGACATTGTCCCCAGGGGCTCTTCTCGCCGTTCTTTACTTTTCTTCGTGCTATATTTTTCCAACCGTTTAGATTTTCCCTCGCCCCCACTATCTGCCCCTGGGTCTCCGAGGATGGATAACGCTATAACAGATTTCGCTTAAACTTCACTAACATCGAGGCGGCTATTGAAGGAAAAAGCTCTCGTGAAAGATCTTGGAACAACGGATCCAGTGCCGAGAAATACCGCTGCAACTAAAATAGGTAATGGCGTCATTTCGTTGCCATTTCATTGCAACCCTATCGTAATAAATCTTCACCTTTATCTAATGCGACTGTGGTGGCAATTTTTCCAATTCTTTGTTTATAGCGACATAGTTTATGCTTAAACTTGGGAGGTATTGACCCTGAAAAACTTTATCGAGCCACCTTAATGCAGCATTTTTCGCATGAGTTCTCACAGGCGTGTCCTTAGTTTGCTTTAGTACTGGCCCGGTTTTTTATGCTAGTCGTCCAGACGTATTTAAAGTTGAGACATTTAAGTCGACTGGTACCAAAACGGCAAGCATAAAAGTAAATGATAACATTCATTGTGAAAAAAAAATAAACAACTCTTGCTCTACCCAGTCGCCTCTGGACGAGTTGGGCCGAAATGCGTCCCAGTTGATGGCGTCCCGCTTTTATACTAGACGCATTTAACGTCTGGGACGTTAAAGTGGTCTGTTAAGTGCGTCTGAACGACGCACTTTAATTAAAAGAAGGCTTTTAAGTCGTCAGAAGTTAAATGCGTCTGTCTTACTTACCGTTCTTTAGTCTGCTACAAAGCCGTTTTTAGTGTCGTCACGTAACGCTCCTCCTCCTCCTCCATTGCGTGACGACTCTAAAAACGGCTGTGTAGCAGACTAACCGTTCTTATACTAGACGTCAAAGTCGTCCTAAGACGAGTTTAACGTCTGTAGCAGCATAAAAACGGCATTCGCTTGCTTTGTTTGCCGCAACAGATACTGTTCCTGAGAGGCGGGAATGGAGAAAGAAGACTTCAGAGAGATCTCATACGAGGAAGAGCTGCAAAGAGCCAAATGGTTTAAGGAAGACCTTGAGAAAGGTAAGCGAAAGTGATAGAAGAACAAAATAAGGAAAATCTGTCGAGCAAAGAGTTTGAAAGAAAGCAAAACAAAATTGATTCGGCTTTCTTTAGGGCAGTCCACACTTGTGCGGGAACCAGTGCCTGGGTAACGGCAAAAAATAGCCTTCGTAGCTGGCGGTATTGTGTAGTAGTCGAGTGAGATTTGGCGGCGGAGCCGTTGTAATATAGTCGAGTGAGATTTGACGGCGGAGCCGTCACGAGCGACGAAGCGACGAGAATTTCAACCGCCTCGTCCCTACTCCCTTTTTTTGGAACACGGCTCCGCCGCCAAAACTTTAATCTCGCACCCACACAATACCGCCAGCTACGCAGGCTAGGCAAAAAATAGTGTAGTGTTCGCACCTTGAGTACTCCAGCTACTCCATTACACCCTGTTTAAGGCCATTTTGAAACATGAGCTTAGCAGTGTGTACAAAGCAGTGCAAGACTTCCCCAGAACTAACAAAAACGGTGTGCACCCAGGGACCCGGTGTCCACTTTTGTGCCTAAGTTCTAGAGTAGGTACTTGACTGAAAAGGGCACCGTTCCCGAGCACCAAGTGAGAAAGGTGCCTTTGATTTGCTTCTTGCACGCTATATCCTGCATGTCGATTGTACGTTTTTGTTAAGTAAAGGCAAGCAAAATACAGAACGATTCTTCACCGGGAAACAAGAAGCACGTTGAAAACAAAAGTGGAGAACAGTGTTCATAAAAATAGCAGAAGAATTTCGAAGCAGACTTCTGTAGAGTAGAGGCCCGGAAATGATCTACATCCCTAAAATGATCACCGAAATCGACCCGCAAATAACCCTCACACCGAGGTGTTTCCTGTTTTTTCCGTGCTGCCCCTAAAATGATTCCCAAGTAATTCTTGAAATAAAAACTGAAATCGGAGAATTGAAAGGTGCAAAATAAACGAAATCAGTAATTTAAAGTTATCTTACATGGACATCTTCAATTACATTTCCAAGATTTTAAAAAATGTTAGACGCGTAAATCAAACGTATTATTCATGACTATGAAATGATGAATCAAATTGGAACAAAATAAAACTTAAAATAGCACTTAGGGGATAAAACTAACACTAACTGGAGAGGAAAAAACGTAAAGCAAGAACTCTGCCCATAAAACACAGGAAACCGACTCGGTACTGACGTTTTCCACTCTTTTTCCTTGATACGTGTATCACAAAGGTGGCATTCCTCGCTGTAATAAGCTGTAAAAATGTCGTCGTCATCCGGTCGCGAAACAGGACAGCATATTGACTCCCCTTTTAAAAGGATACTACATGCGAGTTACGGGAGCCAATCAAAACGCGCGAAAATTAAAATTGCTATTCACTGATTGTTTTCCGCTCTCCTCATCCAAGGAGGGATAATGCGTGTGCAAGAGATGGATACCGATTTTGGGAATGGGGTTACCTGAGTCATACCTAAGACACGGGGATACCCAAATCACTCCGACAGTGCTCTGATTGGCAGAGAGGTGTGTGCGCGTGTACGTTCTGACGTCAAGTTCTTTAGCTATCTTTTGCAGTCCGCAGCTAGTATTCACGCAATCACGATTCAAAAAAGCTAAAAAAGGAAACGCTTTGAGCTAAAAACTTGACTTTCCTTACCTTCAATAAAAATCCATAGTTTGCTAAATCCTTTATTTAAAACATAACGGTAAGAATGAAGGCCAATCGTTTTTACACTAAACGTTTCTTTTTTCTTGAAGGTGGATGGAGTGAAGGTCTCCACACCCCAGGAGTCTCTACGTTCTGGTTCAAAACATTCCCAGATATGGAAGTGCCGATAAAAGCCCTCTTCACGATGGAAATTCCAGTGCCAGCAGAGAAAGTGGTAGAAATCCTTGCCCCTGCCAATGTGAAGTACCAAAGAGAATGGAATGCAGCTTTCCCGGTTAACGAACTCATTGAAAACTATATCGAACAAGAAGGAGGTGGAAGCTTATTGTATACCGTACTCAAGCTTTCTTGGCCTCTTACTAATCGAGCCTACCTCGTTTTCATTCCACCCAGTAAAGAAGTTGATTGGTATGGCAAAAAAGCGTTCCTTCTGCTTCAGAAAAATGCGTGGCATCATTCAAAACCTCCAGGCGCTGACGGGTTTGTCAGGTAATAGAGCGGTTTTCATTTGAGTGTCGAAAAGTAATTGGTTTTGCACTTTCTACACGATGCGATTGGCTTAAAAGATTCGCGCCACCTTTTCATCCAATCAGAAGTAAAACCAAAGCCAATTGTGACGCGCTCGCATGCATTTTCTCGCGCTTTGCGTCAGCCACATGTAATTACTTCGAGTTTTGATTGGTTCAATGTATTGTCTGTGTCCTATGTGATTGGCCAGAGTAATTACTTTGGTTTTGGTTTTACGACACTCAAACGAAAACCACTCTAAGAAGAGTAGACACTTATTTTTGTCAGAGACTAAGCACAGCGAGAGAAACACTAGCACATATGGGTAAAAGCCTTCCGCGTGACCCATCTCTTCAAGCTGGAAACGTTTTCAATCTCCTGAATCACGTTCGACTGAGATCAGTTTAACTCGGCGCTTAGTCTCTGAGGAAACGAGGCCGGATTGTTTAGTCGTATTTGCTAAACATGAAAGAGGATGACATGAGCTGAAAGAGAAAGTTACACTCTCTAAGTCCGGAAAATAGTTCTCCTTATATCGGTACCTTTCGTTAGCTCGGTTGAAGGACGGCCGCGAGTTTATGAATTAAAGTGCATTGCGTTGTATTCAGTCGCCGGTGTGGTGTGCATTCTCTTGTATGGGACCAATTCCTGGAAAACAAGTAAGACGGAATGAGATCTTTAATTTTTAAGCTCAAATCTTTAATGTTCTGAGAAGACGCTGAACTCTTTCTAAAGCATGCTTGAAGATTTACCGTATCACCATGGAAAAGTTCTATAATACAGCTTAGAATGGATCTTGCAGTACGGGCAGCACCCATAACCATCAGCGACAAATAGAATCAGAAATAAAAGTTACCAAGACAGAATACACGAGAGCAATAGACCAATTTCGATAAATTAAAATTCATACTTGGCAACTAGGTTAGGAGATCGAACTGAAACAAAAAAAAAAGTTTTATTCACTGCCGAAGCCAAGATTGATTCTTTTGTCTTATTGTCCTTAGCCTTGAAGTCAAGTTTGAATTTTAGTACATCAAAATTGGTCTAATTAGACAGCTTTTAAAAACGCAAGCGAAGTTTCGGTTTTGCTCAATCACTGGTCAACAACGTTTAACTCATTCTCGTTTTCAGTCGGGTAAATTGTTACCGCAAGAATACAGTATTATTTAACGCCATATATCACAATAACTTTATGCCAAGATTATTTAATCAATCAATCAGGTCATTTTCAGAACGAGGCTAAGTGCAAAACCTTTCTTGTGAAAATGAATTTGATTTGCTTGATTTGCAAGAGGCTGAAAAATCATTTTCATATCAATAGCTCTTCACTTTGCCTCGCTTTGAAACAGAGGCTTGGGGAAACTAGGAAAAGGCCTATTGCGTGCTAAACAAACGGGTGGGTAATCTTTTATTGAAAGTAATATTCGGGTTTGGTTTGCCGTGCCCTTCATCATTGGAGAGATTGAGGGGATCAATGGCCCACGTTCGATATATTAAAATTCTAACATGACTCCGAGGCTTTAGGGTCAAAATTGCAAATTTTTCATGACTCCATTGTCTCGCAATTCCCAGAAGAGACTCAGACTCGTACCCAGTCGCTATTTAAGTGTTTTTTGGGGTGAGAGAAGATTGGGGATTAGGTTGAGGCGCACGCGGGGTCTCATGGGAAGAGAAGAAGGAAACCCGCACGTAACCCGCACGTGCCTTAACCTACTCCCCAATCTTCTCTCACCTCAAAAAACACTTAAATAGCGACTGGGTACGAGTCTGGAAGAGACTTGAGCACAAGGAAAACTAAACCAAATATAGAAGAATGAACCTGGAATGAACAGAAAGCTTCGGAGTCATGTTAGAATTTTAATATATCGAACGTGGGCTATTAAGACAATCCAAAGTTTATTTAAAACTGCTCCGACCTAGCAGTTTTGGCTGAACTTATTTGTTTTGTTTGTTTGATTTTTAACTCATAGGGCAACAAACGGAGGAAACTTCTCTTTGGTCATCCCAGACGAGGAAAATCCATCTGGCGCATGCAAGATGTTCATGTTGCGAAATAATAATTATAATGGTTGCCTACCTAATAAGGGAATCCAGTTCCTCATAGCAAAAACCCTTCCTCCTAAATTTAATCTCTGGAGAGAAGGGATTATTGATGCCTACAAAAGGTTCTTTAGAGAAAAGATCTGAACTTTCTGTAGCCTGAGTATAAAGCCCTCCTTGGGGCGGGGGAGGGTGAGGGGAGTGAGGAGGGAGGAACGTAACCAGGTTAAACTTTCTGAGAGGCAATTGTCACTGTTGAAATGGTAATAGCGCTAATAAAATGTGACCAAGAATAAACAGTCCAGTCGCTATCGGCGTTATTGCTGTTGTTTATTTCGCGCAAGTGCAACTTCCTTCCCAAGATCTTTTGCAATGAACTGAGTAGCCACGCAATCCGGCACGATTTTGAAAAACATTAATTAAAAACTTAGCCCTTAATTCCCTTTTTTTTCCTTTGCAAACATGCTGCGACAAAGTTTTTGCCTTCAAATGTTAGACTATTATATGGGCGGAAAAATCCATAGAATGCTAATATCTTTCTGCAAAACAAGAACTAGTCGACTGAGTAAATGATGCTAAAGTGTGAAGTTCTCTCTAAAGGCCATTTGCATGATCGAGTCATCCTTACGACTACTACGTGCGACTACTACGACTACTCCACTACTACTGTCGTTACCGCTACCACTACCAATACCACTACTACTACTATCTCAGAGAGGGTTTCAAAATAAGTGAATAACCCTAAATTGACAAGAAAGCAAAACCATGACGGATTCTGGAGATATCATCGTCTGTAAAATTTCGCGACTTTTGAGGATCTGTATCTTTGGTCGCTTAAGACAGTTATCACTTTCAAACTTGGCAGGTTTACTAATCTTAAACCGCTCTTTCCAGTGGTGTCGACGGATTTTCCCTAACTAGTCCATGTCAAAAGTTGAAAAAAGCCGTGGAAGGATCTATTAAAGAACCGTTTTGAGAACAGCTATGGATCTATAGTTTGTCCTGTTCTTTTATCCTTTTTTGAGCCGGAATCTTTTAACCTCTTCTCCAGTTGTTGCATATTCTGTCGAGTTTATTGCCAAGTTGAGTATGGTGACTAGTTTTAAAGAGTTTCGCAAGCTACCCGCTCTCCTTGTGTGACTCCGGCCCGAGAGGTTGCAAAGGAGACTAACTATGGGACTGATTACCCCTCATTCCGAAATGGCAAAGAGAAGAAGGAGTGGCATCCCCCCCACCCACAAAACATTCAAAAGCGTAATTCGACAGAGCCCTCTGCCTGATGTGATACCTATTTCTCACAAATGGCATGCCATATTTGGTGCTGGAGCACTGGAGGTCTCAATATTGAATCATGTAAATTTCATGTGATAAAGGCAAGCCGTTGAGTCTGAATGTCAGATGATTACTGATGATTACTTCGAGTCGTTTTTACTCCCTCAGTTACTGAGGGAGTAAAAACGACTTGAAGTAATCATCTAAAATTCAGGCTAGGTAAGCCTTGGGGAAATCTTTATTACTGGCGTTAAAAGAAGTGACCATTCTGATTATGTTGACTTGAACCCCCTCTCTCCATTAATACCCCACTCCTCTCCAAAAGATGCAGGATACCCTCCTACCAGGAGCTTGCCCCAATCTTGCATTGGGGAGCAAGAATGGCAAGGTGGTGAGAGCAATGTGGCGTGGGTTCAAAACCCGGCGGTTAACATGTGGGTTGAGATTGCTGCTGGTTCTCTCTTTGCTCTGACAGGTTTTTTACTGGATACTCCAGTTTTCCCCTCTCCTCAAAAACTAGCCTGTGAATACGGCCCTTTCACGCCACATGGACGTTTCGCCAGGAGGAACGTCCGCACCACAGCAACAGAAATTCCATACTGATGACGTAAAATCTGTAAGGAATCTGGTCAGGAGCTCTGATTGGTCGACATAGTAGCTATATAGTTTTACCTATTGTTTACGAATGACAGACAAAAGACAACAGGCCACAAAGGTCAAATATAAACCGGGTCATAAACATGATGAATCTACTACAAAACAGTCAATATTTCTCTAGAAAAAGGATCTGAGTTCGCTGGAGATCGTTCGCAGTAGAACACACAACCATGACAACTTCACCATGACCGACCAGGAGAAACATAAAATCTAACAAATTTACAATAACCCCATGACTACTGGATTTATTATGTAAACATTGATTTACGTCATCAGTATGTAATTTCTGTCACTGAGGTGCAGACGTTCCTCCTGGCGAAATATCCCTCGCGGCGAGGAGCAACGGCTGTATTCGCAGGCTACTCAAAAGCCAGCATTTCCAAATTCCAATTCGACCAAAAATCAGGTGGACTAAGAACCATCAAGTGGACGCGCTACCTATAAATCTTTAGTTTACTTATTTACACTTCCAAATGGAAACACAAAGTAATAAAAGGCACAGTAGATGAAGTAAAGCAGAAATTGGCAAACAAATCTCGCATATTTTATTCACATGTGCTGATGAATACAAGTGGTAAGGTTGTGATGGCAGCAATTGTTACAGTTTCTAATAAGCACAAATTAGCACTAAGTAAAATTAAGTTATGGAGAAAAGATCTAATTGAGGAAAAAAAAACTAAAATAAGTAACAAATTCTAAAACAGTACTGGTATTACTCAGGTTCTCAACATGCTAGGGGTAGAATGATCATTGGCTAATAAATGCAGCTGTTTTTTATTGGTTGTGGCTGGACAAGTAGCAGCTATGATGCCACAACACTCTCAGAATGATTTGCTGGATTACCAACAAGGCCCTTAACAACAGAGTTGTTAACATACAGGCCCTAACAACAATAACAGGTGTTTTTACAAGGACCATTGAAAATAGAAGTGTTTGAAGATTAATGGCTCTAACAGCCGCTTGGAAAATAGGAAGCTATAATCATGTTCTGCTAAGGCTGTGTTTACATTGTACTCTGGTACAGTGAGATACTTTGATAGAGATATGGTGGGTATATGAATTTGTAAGATTGCAACATAAATTTACACTGAAATCAGGATACACCGTACTGATAGAGCCTACTAGCAAGCTCTCATTTTCACGTGCTGCTTGCATGACACTTCTCTCACGATATCCCCTATTTTTTACATGAAATAAGAAAAACACATTTGTCACTCATATTTCCTTCAAAAATCACTTTACTCTTGTACAGCAAATGTATATAAAGACAACTTCAACCTATCTTAAAAGCCAAAAACGAAACATCTCTATTACAGTGTCCCAGATATAGATGGTACAGAGTAAAATGTTCCCACAATCCACTGCAAACACATTAGAGCCTCAGAAATCTTGCTTCCCACGTTCTACCCAACCAATCCTAGCTGAGATCCTGACAGCATCAGCTTCGACCATTTCAGCAGTTACTTATGTTGTGGTTCTACTTTATCTTTGAATGAAATGTTATTTTCCTTTTTTTCATGCTCGCCATAAAACATTACTATTCCCCCCACCCCTTAAAAAACCCCTAAACCGTAGATAAAATTGAACCACAATACTTACATTAGTTTATTCTCTGCACATAGGGTAAGGCTTGTCTATGACATACCAAGTTATCACTAATTTATGACCATTTGCTCAATGCTGTAACCTGCTGCTCATAAGCACTGGGCTGACACATCTTTGTAAGGGTTTTCAGCAGGGCTTATAAATGGAGGGGTGTATATCAGAGGAGGCTTAAAACCAGAACAGGAAAAGCCCCTCCAAAACAAGCTATAGCAGAGCCAATCAAAATATGTTTTACATTTATAATCAGATGCATTTTTTTGTTTACAGGTAGACAGGCCTATAACTAAGAAGGGGGGAAGGGGAGGGCTTATAAGCTGCAGTTTACAGTACCTGTATTAGTTACATGGCTGTACCAGCAGGGGTCATTGTTTTATTCTAGAACCTAAGGATTTAGAACTGAAGACAGGCCAAGTGCTAATTGCCACCTCACAAAGTGGAAAAATAAAACAACTTTGTAATAGTTGTTATTCTCCATGGGAAATTGACATTTCCCCAAATAAAAAATTAAGGTAAAAACATGAAAAAAAAATCACCTATGTTACATAATCGCTTTCAGAAACCCCACAACAGATGACATTTTACCACTCAAAAACCAACACATAAGTGGAAGCATAAGAGGAACAATATTTGCATTTTGGACAAGCTGGCAAAAAAAAAAGGATGCGAAGGCATTGAAAGATTCACAGTTACACTAGGTCACTTTAATAAAACCTTTACAATTGCAATTTACAAATGTAGCCATTGTTTGAAAGTCTAAAAACAACAGCCACACTAGTAAATCGCGTTCATAAAAGTTTCCTAAGAATAGCCAAAAAGGGGTCAATTCACAACTTCATTGATAATTTTGCACTACCTGTCCAAAGACAAACTTTCAGTGTTAAAGCAGGGTGTTTGCTTAAATATTAAGAAAATGGAGAAGCAGACAAACAAAACAAAACAGAGGTTTTCCAAGACACTCGCTAATAAAATATCCAGTACATGTATAGACAGTAAAAAAAAATTTCTCAAAAACAGCACATTGTGAAATATGCTTTGTTAGCACAAAACATGACAAAAGATATTACCTATAAATTGTCACACAGCCACTAAAAAGCAAAATGAACAACTTTCTACCCAGCTAAAGTTTTTCAAGGTGAAAGATCACCATTTTGCTTCAGATATGAAAAGATTACGTGTTCATAAAAGTAAAACTAACTAATCAGGACAAACGATTTGTTGACAACCTAGGACTGAATCTAAACTGGTTAACTCTCTCTTGGAGCAAGTTCACGCTGGTGGATTAAAAACTTGTATCTCATGCCGGCTCAAAGCTTGTGAACCAATTTATCATACTTGGTGGAAAATGTTCAGCTGTCACAGCTGAATACAGCAAAGTAGTGGTATTTTATAATCATTTTGTTGAGAACTTTGAAACCAGTCACTCGATGTCACTGTATATGAGTGGGTTCAAAGTTCAAAAAAAATTATTCAGACTCACGATAAAAATACTGCGCCTTTGACTAAAACAGGTGGCAAGTTTTTAAGACTGGGTCTTAAATGTTATGCAAAATACTAAACAAATTTTCTTGTTTTGACACATGCAAATGTGGCTTATAAAATAATTTTGCACCTTTACTCTGAGACCCAGTCAATTTTAGACTAAAATGAGAGTCAATACCAAAATATAGGGACAAAATAAATTTGATTATGGGTTACAAAAGTTAGGCAATGAGTTAGTACTTTCAAGCTTGAAGTATCTTAATCCAGACATGTATACTGCAAAGAGAATCTTAACTATGAAAATGACATCATTATAATGAACATTACAGAAAAATGAAAAATGGCTAATTTTGAGAACCTCTTAAAACGATCACTCCTTATAGGAAAAGAAAACAAACAGGAGACACAAGTCTAACAAATTACAGTATACTCAAAAAATAAAGCAAACGTTGTTCACAATGACCAGGCTTATGAATTTGACGACACACTACTGTACATATCCAGAAAAAAATAAAGTAATGCTCACTGATCTTGCCGAAGAAAAAATAACAATATATTATATTCATTTGTATGTACGTATTGGCGCCATGTGTTAGTGAGAAGAAATAAAATAGTACAAAATATGGTGAATCATAAATTATTGATTACCCTTTAAATCCACCTAAAAACCTTTATGCACAAATAAAAGAGTAATCACTAAATGTAAATATATCCTACAATAAGAATGAATTTGTGACTGGGTATTGTAAAGGAATTTAACGTAGGTGAGGAAAAAACACTAATATTTTCATGATGATAGATTTAATACAGTCTAATATAATCAACTGTGAAACCTACAGCAATTTTATCATCAAGCATGAGGAGCAGTACATGTACCAAACAAATGGGCTGTTACAACATTCATATTATTGGCTGATCACACAGGGTTCTAGAAATATTATATTTAGCAATAGCATTCCTCGTCTAATCTTAGTCATTAATATTGCTCTATATGTGTATGGACATAATCATGCAAGGTCAGCTTCACTAATGCAGAATCAAATAAACTCATTATTGTTAGTAAATAGTTATTTGTATTATCATTTTCTTCCCTGTATAACAAAATTACTCCTCTATGTCACATTTGTCATTTTGTTTCCTGAGTTGAATTCTTAAGGACTTTATCCAGGTTTTACAGTCAACCCAAGTCAAGCATACCCCCCAAGATTACATTAATGAATTTATTATTCAAAAGTTGAATCTGTTGGTAGTTGTAGATTTCAGATTCATGTCTGCATTCTTGCATGCGATTCAGTTACGAAATTTCTACCAGGTAAGTTTCCCTGAATTTGACGTAAATGTCTTCGATGAAATTTAACCCATTTAAAGATTTTCAATCTGACAAATGCAGAGAAGTTCTCGTAAAATATTCACTGCTCAGTACGCATGCAGGAATGCCGATTTGAATTTAACACTAGTTACCAGAACGACTAACGGATTCATTTTTCAAATAATCAATTCATTGATAGAATCTTAGGGGGTACGCTTGACCTGCCTCGACTGTAAAAGAGAAAGGAAAATTTGTTGTCATATGTTCTAGTCCTCCAGAAAATGCCACAATATGAGGTTTTACCTCATTTTGTAGTGAACGCCAAAGAAATGTATTAAAAAGTGTGATGCTTGTGTAGAGCTGCTGTTTTTCTCATAAGCCAATTATTTTTGTGACGTTGTTGCCGTTGTTGTCATGGTTGCTCAACCATTTAAGTCTCAAGAGTGACCAAAATAAAATTTTTCATAACAACACCAATACAAAGTAAAAAAAATGGTTATGGAAACTAATAAGATGCAAGAAATGTAAATATTGTAGTTCATTTTTTATCTCAGGTAATTTGTATTTTTCCTTTGTTTCAACTTCATTGGCATACATTACCATAACCACAAACAAAAGAAAAACAAAAATTACCAAAGATAAAAAATTAACTGCAACATCCACACCAGTCTGGAGAGTCTGAGTGTGGATATTGGGGATTATAAGGGTGAAGCTCCCCAGTGACAACGAATATGCTGTAATTCATGGGAAGAAACTAAAAAAGAGCAATTTTGCATACAGGGAATGGCATTGATTACGTAAATGGGGTGATTATTTACATATACACAACTTTTGTATTGTTACATTAACACACTCAATCAAGATGATTAAATACCCGGTACTCTTTCATTCCTGTACAACAAAAGGTCCCCTTTGATTATTTTACCTCACAAACACTTGGGTGATGTTTACACTGTCCAAGCACTCGCCGTTCTGTCCAAATGCTGTGACAAGGACATCAGAAAAGCACTTTGGACTGTCAAAAGTTGGTGTGGGATCCACTCCGATGATAAGCGGTTCCAAATTGTCTTTTATGAGAACATCAACACCATACACAGCACAAAGATCTCTTGCCGTGCGGCTGCCATCTTGTAAAGAGCACAGACTTGGTGCCACAGCATAAAACAACTTACCAATGCTCTTGTAAATCTTTGCCTGAACATCGTCCCATGACATTTTCCCCTTGACCAAGTAATTTGCACTGAAGTCTCCTAAAAATTCGCTGTGTGTCATCTTGTGGTTGACCACCCCATTATGCTTTACATCTGACGTGGATGAAAGAAGAGCTGAAGAATCATATTCATCTAAGAATTGATTCTGGTTTATCTCCCTCTCTGCCAGCTTGACGTGTGGAGTATTTTGCACAAGGACCTCTAATGGCACCAGCGATTTCACTGTTACTGCATACTGTAGACAGAATCGTCTCTTCTTGCTGATTGCTGTTCGAGCACAATCTAAGATATAGTTGAACATATAACGTTAGCTAAACTTTTGCTTCTAATGGCAACATTTTACACTGATTATGGTGGCAGAACTCCCAGATCAAAAATAATAGAAAAATGTTGTCCTTTTCCCTTAAAAAGTTTTACTAAATCTAAATGCATGCACAAGACTAAAGGGTAAATGCCTAAATGTAATTAAGGGGAGGTTAAAAATGAAACAATGCGGGCCAGCAGTATCTTTCACTAATCATATGCACTGTATGTAAGTAGGGGGATAAACTTAAGACCTTGCTCAGACTCAACAGTGTTATCCTAGTGTTGTTACTACTTACAGTACGAAGCCACCAAATGGCCCATCTCTGTGCACCTCAAAACCCTGCGCAGATCACTGGTGACAATTGGTCGTAAACTGAAGGAACTTGGATCTGCTGCTCGTAAAATCCAGTAGCTGGAGATTGCTCTGCAGTAATGGTCAGCACACAAAGCTGATAAATGGACAGACATGTCATATGACATGGGGAACCAGGGTACATTTCCCCAAGTCTCCTGCACATGAGCAGCTAACAGATGGCGATGCAAAAGGTTTTCCTCCCCTCCAAGTCGGTTGATTCTTGCATTATTTTGGATTCTTTGCCCCAAAACATTCCATTTTTCTAACCACAGAGCTTCAGCTTCTGTTAAAGACTCTACAAGAGTACAACCCAAATCTCTCAAAACTGGCTTCTTCTCCCGGCCATTCTTTTCCAAAAAGAACTTTAAGTTTAATTTTTTAGCTTTCAAAAGGGAACAGTTGACACTTTCAGGCTGTGTTGATAACGACTTGACATCTACCACCATATTGTTCTCTCTTGGTAAGGAAGGAAATTTTGCCAGATCAACCGCAAAATGACTTGGACTAACATCAGGTAATGACGAACTAAAAGCTAAAAGACGGGCATCTCTTTGTAACTGTGGTTCTGCCATACTCAAATGAGGACAAAAATTTCTAGTGCAAACATCGCCAACATTTATATCTTCTAGAGGCCAAAGGAGAGAATAGAACACCCCAGTCACAGCAAAAGCAAATGGTGAGCACTTGACATTAGGATGACTGGAGTGAACAATAGCTGATCCGCATTCATCCATCACATACCAAACAGGTGCTTGCTTGACTCCATCTGGACCGACTGCTGAATAGGTCTGGTTGTAGTACCACATATTCTCCAACACGTCATGCCTATCACAGTCTGCTTTCTGACCCTCGTCTCTAGCCTGATCTGAAATTTCCTTTTCTGTCAGGTGTTTCTCGCCTTTAATTAAAACCTGATAAGCAAGAAGAGCAATTATTACATAATAAAAAAATATATCATTTTTAATTGACACTTTGCAAGTAAACAATATTTATTAGTCAGTACAAAAACAAATTCACTGAAGTCTGTACCATTTTGTTTCATCCACTATCACAGTGACTTCGAATTCCCTTCCCTTTTTTCTTTGGTGTTTTAGTCGCCATGCATTCTCACTAATAAGGCTGCAATGTCTCCCTCCGTGAGCAAGGAAGTTTGTTTTTCTTTTGGCAAACACAAACTTTGCCAAAATTAGGTGCCATTTATTCATAGAGTACAATTTGCAGTCATAACAGATTTGAAATATCCAACTAGAACTTACAAAGCTAGTCTTAAATCAGGGGAAAATATTCTCCCATAAGCACCTAAAAAATCAACTACATATCAGAGTCTTGACCCAAGGTCACCTTTTGGAATTTAGCAAAAATGAATCCCTTAAAAAATTGCTTTTAATGAAACAGAGAATATTATTTTACCAGCATCTAATCAATGTTGTACATGTACACCTTTAAGAAATAAGAATAACAATAATATTATCAATGCTCTCTTTAAAAAAATTTTTGGAGGGATATATATCAGAATCCATTCAACATCATCATTTTCAAACATCTTTAATAAAAGAAAACTTGACTTTGGAGGTACATGTATTTGCTGAATATAAAAAGCCAAGCTATATCTCTCTCAAAAGATAGAAATCTACAGTTTCCTCCAGAGGTCAATTTTAAAAGCACATGAGCAATAAAGTACAGCTAAGCAGCTTTGACTTAAGTGGTTGCACTTACGGATTTAACATTAATGCAAGACCCTTTTGACAAAGACAACAGGAGTGCAAAGCGTGTTATAGAAATCTAATTTGTCAGCTTTTTGTGAAACTCTGCTGCTACCTATCAATAAAATGACTTACAACAATGCAAAAAACCTATTCATTTTACCCTGAATGCGAAAAATGCAAGCTGATGATTGTCATCCATATGTCATTTCAACACACGGATTGTCTCCCTGCAATTCACGCATTCCAGCTTTTGTTACAAAGAAAATTTATTCATTTGCCATTGAGGCTTTCAACTGAGACCTAAACATGAGGAGATACTGTAAGACAACATGTCGAGATGAATCCTTCAGCGTGATTCATCAGTCACCATGGGAAGTCAAATATGTGATTTATTTCCCCATAACGTTTTCACGGATATTTTCAGTAGGGTGTTACTGTGTGTTATCAAAGGCTATTATACCCCTATATGCAACATTTATTTCTCACATGGCAATCAGGTGTGGTTTTGTAACACCAAGACCTACTCCCTTGAGAAGTGAATATTTATTTAGCTGTGTTTTAAAGTGTTTGTTTTGCGATCAAAGAAAAACGAAACGAAATACTAACTATGCAAGATGGCAAAAATTTCTTAGTGAGAAAAAATTCTCTGGTATTTCAAAATTCTTATCTGAGAAAACAAAACGAAGACAAAAGAACTGATTGCAGAAATACAAAACGACATCACGTATAGCAACATGCTTGAGGCCTGTAAATTTGTACACAATGTAACGAGATGGACATACGAATATCAGAAATGATTAAGGAATCAGTTTTTAACCACTTGAAAGTTGATGGCAAAGCCACTCAAGAAAAAACATCAAATTTTCTGTTTAGGATAATATTGGCTTCAATAACTAAAGTGAGCTTCATCAAACTTGTCGCTGTTCAGAAGTTAAATATAATTAGTTCATAAATACCTTGTAGCAAACAGTTGAGATCGCGATTTGACGCCGCGATAGAAAAATGCGAAAAATATGCACCTCTTGAAATGAATAAGCCGTGTCACGCTTTGCTAGGCGCTTGGCGCTAAAAATTGTAAGATAAATTTAAAACTTACTGGCCATAACTCAGCTTCTTCATTCTCCGGTTTCTGCAAAGTCATAACCAACAAACCGGGACAATCAAACGTCCAAAACGATTCATCGGGGCAAACATTTCCGTAAAACTCTCCATCAATAATAGGCGGAAAACCTTTCAAGCCCAAAGTCCATCGTTTCGTTGTCAATTTGTTTACAACATCTCGCTTTTTGGTCGTTACTGGAATCGAAACAAAACAGCCATCGAGCCCTCGTCTTCTTCGAGCCAACTATACTGCGCGGTTGTTCCTTTTCCGAAGCACAAAGAGTCTGGGTATTGCTCCTTCTCTCGTTTGTACCTTAAGTACATTTTCTCCACGTATCCTTAGAGAGAAGCTTTGCTTTTTCCATTCCAACCGAGTGAAGGAAGCCCGTCTTGAATTCCTCGAAGGCCATAATTTTTGACCTGTCTGATTTCGATGGCTTTTTACTTTCATAAGAATCGTCCGTGATTTGACACAAGGCCTCGATTAGATCACTGCCACTCGCTTGAAGAGCTTCTTCAGCTTTCTTCTTTTCTATTCCGGTAATTTGTGAAAGAACCAGGGAGCTGTCTAGCAGAGATTCGTCGCTCGAGGCAATTTCGCTAGCGCTGTTTTCAGGGCGTTGCATAATTTCCTTCATCCTCGCCAAAAGTTCTGGCGATTTTTCCAAATTCTTCTTTGCTGTCGAGCCTCCATCACTCGACCAGGCGTGCTCAATAAGAAACACGTCGCTGAATTTCTGCAAAGCACGTTTAGCGTGAAGAGACCAACGACCCGGGGAACCAAATTGTCCTCCTTCGCGAACCTCAAAAACCTCTGCTGTGTCACAGCTTGCAATAGGAGTTAGCTTTTTGTAAAGCCTTTCCCATAATTGCTCGGGTAAGCCGATGGAAAGAAACTGAGGTCGATGTAAAGTAAAGAAATCTTCGCAGCTAATGCACGTGGTCTTCGCCGTACTATTAGACGCCATCTTCACTCCTCCCAACAATTGCTTTGCCTCTGCTCAAATTCAGTGAACTGATCTATATCAAATTCTCAATACTTGATAAAAACTGCTGCTATTGAAGTATGTAAGGAGAAAAAATTTGTCGATCAACGAGTCACCCGTGCCAGTCTCCGCTGAGAAAATTCGTCACCAGACGAGACGAAACAGGGGAAGAACGTATGAATATTCGAAAGAAATTATGATGGAGGTCGAAGACCCCTACAACATTGGAGGATTCAGCAGCTCAGACGATGACCAAAACGAGAGGTACTTCAGTTAATCACAGCTTTTGCGACTAATACGCGAAATTATATTACCGCCGCCCGGTTGAAAATTTGTTTGACACAAACACTTGAGTGATTTCTTGTTTCCTGAAATTTCACAGACGGCCATCTAACAACGTCGATTATACCTGTGGATTTATCGATCATTTAATTTGGTTGGTCGCGTTCTATGGCTTGCTTATATGCCGGTTAACCTTTTATAAACCCATTTTATTGCGAAAGCATGCAGAAAGAATGTTCAATCTACGTTGTATTGACGTAAAATCAAAACCACGCGTACTGAGGCGTCAATTTCCAAGTTGAGTAGGGGGATAGGAATGATAAGGATGTTTATAACTTAGGCAGCTGTTACTGACATCTCTTTTCTTTGGCCCACGGGTGGAAAATGCAGAGTTGACACATTTTGTGAGTGCTTTCCATTTGCCCAACAGTGTCATGTTCGTACGGTGGCCACTTGTTATAGACCCCAATAATAATAATAATAATAGTAATGAAAAAATAAAAAACTGAGAAAAACTGATAAAAGACCCTGCACCTGTGCCATACATACAAATCTTACAAAATGTTTTAATTAATGTTTCATATTTCATGTTTTTTTTTTCTCACATAGAGTGAACATTCCATTTATTGGAATACGATGATTTATCTTGTCTTTCCTGTGAACACTCTCCCTTGCCCATACCTGAAGCATATAACGCCTGCTTCTGCCCATACTAATAACATTACTAATCATTAACATTATTATTTATTATTATTATTATTTATTATTATTATTATTATTATTATTATTATTATTATTTTCATTATTATCATTATCATCATCAAAATGATCATTGCCATCATCAAGATGACCCTAAGTTGATTTAAGAAAACAAAAGTCACACCCCTTTCTTTCAACTCCCTTGTTATGAATTATCCTCCTTTGAATAAGCACCAGAACTCCGCACATGTTTACGTGCATCTAAAGTCACATGTTCCTTTAAAATTTATGTCATGGGTCCTTATTCTACGTGCTCCTCAGTCTATAAATCCAGAAACTGACATGAATATAATCTCACATAAAACTATTAGACAAAAATAATAACCACATGGGGATGATGGGAGAGCAGAAAGGGTGGTCCTCCTTCCCTCTTCGCCTCCTATCGCCCCTTGCATGCTCCCTTTCCCCCTCCCCCCAGCCTCCTAGTGACGCAGATGTGGAGGAGAGAGGAACACGGCACTCAGCGGTGTTGATTGAAACTTTTTGGATGGCCCCCCTTATACATGTATAATTGTACCTTCAGTTACACTGGCAGAAATGTTTGATAGCTCTCCTAAAATCTAACCTGAAAAACCCATGCCCCGCCCCAAAAGAAAAAATCGCGATTATGAACCCTGCCTTAATGTAATTTTTGATTGTGTTGATGTTTTACTAAACCTTGTGATCCTTGGTTGGTGATTTTAAACTTATGTTATTTTCATTCTCTTTTGGACTATAATCCTTAAGTTCTGAGGATGAACTTGGAATGGAAGATTTATTAAAACATCAAAAACAACAGTCACACTCTAGCAGTGAAGATGAGTTTGAAAAAGAAATGGAGATGGAGATGGAAAATGTGATGAAGGCCTATGAAGATAAACATGGTAAGTTTTAATAAAGAACGTGTCTTTGGCTGTGGCTTCCATTTACCAGGAAATTCTGGATGGGATGCACATGGTACACATGTTTTTCTACACTTAGAAACAGACATTCAGAACCGAACGTCAGAAAAATTTGCTAAGTATGCGACAATATTTTATCTTTTTATATCAGATCTCGGATTTCAGATTTTATGATTCTTTTACTACGCGAAACTCACAAAACGACAAACACCAGAAATACCAGGAAAGTTATTTTGTTTTGAGGAAAAAGCCAAAAGGGTGTGAGCAAAGTAAACTGCAAACAGCAATGCAACAGTTATTAGTTTGTGGTTTTGAGGTTTGCTTGTAGGTCGTTAACTCAGTCTTGTAATAATTACTTATTGTAATAATTATTATTGGTCATCAATTTAGGTGCTCATGGTTTTCTGAGTTTGATGTAATTTATTGTAATGTTCCAGTATAGTTGATGGTTTTCATCATAATTACATGTTAGGTCAGAAGACACTTATGATTAAGTCTGGCTTCCAGTTGACTCTTTCTTCAATAATAAGAAATAGTAGAAAAAATATTGTTTCTTATCATAAGGAACACCACACATTTTTTTAAATAATTAAAATTAGCCAATTAAAAATTAACTGCCATTAAAATTTGAACAGTAAGATTTTTTTTACAAGAAATGTGGAGCAAATTATCACTAAAAATAGATACAAGTATAAGACAAGCAGTTGCTATTCAAGAAAAAGTAAACTGTAAATTTGGAGCTAAGAACTAAAATATAATTGTGACAGTGTAAACATCTCTAACGATGGTATGAAGAACTAATTTAAACATATTTTCAAGGAAGATTAGTTTCCTGGGAATTGTAACTGGACATCTGCCCAGTTGAATTCACTCAAAACTTGAGTCTGTCTTTTGAAAAGATACAGTACTTGCCAGTTTGGCTCCACTTTGGCTAGGATGTTATTTTATCCAAAAGTAATTTTTGAAAATTTCGTGGTGATTTTTGTTAATGCACAAGTTTTTTTTTTTAATTTTAGTTTTAAAAGTAACACCTCATTCCTTTGACACTGGTCTTATGGCTGACTGATCTCCAATTTAAGCTATTAACTGGCAATCAAATAATAAAAGCATTTCTTGGTGGCTGCTCTCCATATGGTTTTTTTTTGTGATACTGATGAGAAGTTTTTAAAATCATTTCTCATTTTTGTAATGGGTCAAAATTTAATTCAGGTTTCAGTGGTTTAGACCTAGTTTGATCCACAGCTTCCTTTTTCATGAAGCCTAATTGCTAATGATAAGTTGTTGCTAAAAAGCCCCCCAGTAAGGGGCCAACTGACATGAAAACTAGTCAATGTAAGAGTTGTTTTGATCAGCACTTCTACAGCTTGTTTCAAAGTGCTTTTACTGATACCAGTTACCACCCCGCTTGGATATAAAACCCTTCCTTTATAAGCTCTTCTAAAATGTTAACTCCTTAATTTATTACGAAGATGCATAAACCCAGAGCTTATACGAGGCAGTTTATGGTTTTCCTGGTGGTGATAATATTACGTAGGGGTAAAGAGTTCCCATATTCCTGTGAATGAAGGAACCAACCCAAGGCTTTAGTAGACAAAAAATTGTGGGTTTTTTATGAAATTGTCCACCCATTAAGCCATAACCTTTGCTCATTGTGTCTGCTTTACTGCTAGAGAAGAATCATGGGAAATGTCTGTATGATACTTAACAAGGGCATTTAAATTTGAATAAACTTTTTACTAGGTGATAATGCAGAACAGAAGACCAACCTGCACGCTGAAAATCCTCAAAATGATGCCAGTGCAAAAGCTGACGGCAGTGGAACAACTGAAGAAACAAATGATGTCTATTCAGAAGATTACTTTAGCTCAGGCTCAGATGATGAGCATTTAGTTGGTGGGCAAGGATCAAAGTCTAAAGAACGGAGGAAACTGTTAACAAATGATGAACTTTTGTATGACCCAGACATGGATGATGAGGATGAAAAGTGGGTGATAAAACAGAGACGTGACCACAGACAAAAAGGTACCACGTCACAACCTGTTGCTCCTAACCCTCTTTATTTCACACTTGTAACCTTTAGTTGTCCTGGTTATTTTATCATTACTCCATGTAAAAGCCTCTCTTATGCTGTTTAAGGGGGGTATAACAACTGGTAGAAATTTCATTATTTATAATAATTATCTGTCAGTCAACTTGACTGTGGAAAACTGAGTTTGAGTCAAATAATGTGATGGTTAACACTTCAAATTATTGGATGATGTTCAAGTATTATTTCTGTATACATGTTTTTGACTAAACTGGATATTGACAGCAAAACCAGCGAAGAAAACTTTAAGACATCGCAACATTCACTCTACTGTTCTACCAAGCAGAAGACAATGGCACCAACAAACTATTTGAAGCCATTTCAGATTGTCAAAATAAATTTTTCGATGGTCAAGGATGATGTACATAGGATATATCTGCTTGTAACTTCTCAACATGTCTATCTCACAGGTCAAAATTAAATTCAGGTTAAATTTTTAACCTAGGTTGATTCTCAATTTTCTTTGTCTCCTTGCATAATTGAATTAGGGCAAGGAGACAGAAAATTGAGAATCAAACTGGGTTAAAAAATTTAACCTGAATTTAATTTTGACCTGTAACATCTTCATCAACCTGGACCAGAAATTTCCTCTGTTTTCCCAATTTGAAATTAGAAAGATATGCCTACTCACTGAAGGCCTTCGAAATCAGGCTGTCAAGCCACTTTCCATGGAGCATTACAAAGAAAATTCTATGTGAATTATGAGAGGAATTGGTATCACTAGCTGATATGAGAAATTACTAATATATATTTACATTTGAATTAGAAAGATATGCCTACTCACTGAAGGCCTTCAAAACCAGGCTGTCAAGCCACTTTCCATGGAGCATTACAAAGAAAAATTCTATGTGAATTATGAGAGGAATTGGTATCACTAGGTGATGTGAGAAATTATTAATATGTATTCACATTTAAATTAGAAAGATATGCCTACTCACTGAAGGCCTTCAAAACCAGGCTGTCAAGCCACTTTCCATGGAGCATTGCAAAGAAAAATTGTATGTGAATTATGAGAGGAATTGATATCACTAGGTGATATGAGAAATTATTAATATGTATTCACATTTAAATTAGAAAGATATGCCTACTCACTGAAGGCCTTCAAAACCAGGCTGTCAAGCCACTTTCCATGGAGCATTGCAAAGAAAAATTGTATGTGAATTATGAGAGGAATTGATATCACTAGGTGATATGAGAAATTATTAATATGTATTCACATTTAAATTAGAAAGATATGCCTACTCACTGAAGGCCTTCAAAACCAGGCTGTCAAGCCACTTTCCATGGAGCATTACAAAGAAAAATTCAATGTGAATTATGAGAGGAATTGGCATCACCAGGTGATGTGAGAAATTATTAATATATATTCACATTAATTCATTGATAATTTTTTTACAGTGTGTGAGCGAACAAAGAACAGTGCAAGTACCCATGAAAATCAAGGGACAAGTCCGGCAAATAAAAAGAAAGCCAGAACATCAAAACAGGAAGTGGAGAAAGTCCCATCTAGTGATGCTATATTGTCTTGTCCAGCCTGCATGACAACACTGTGCATTGATTGCCAGAGGTTAGTTCTGAACAAATGATTCTGGCCTTTGATGAGTGAGGATAAAATTCTGTCAAGTGACATGACCTTGAAACAGCAATATAAGACTAGATAAAAGTGGTGGCAAACAACAAAAAGGTTAAATTCTGACAGGGACATGGCTTTTTAAACTCCTCAAAATGCATAGACCATATTTGGAATTCAGACTAGGGACATATGTACCCTCCCCCCTCCCCCTCTAAGAGGGCCTCTTTGACTTCCTTACATGAAAATGCTCAAATTAGTACCCGGGTGCCTATTTGATTTCCGGAGTTGAAAGGAGCCCGTGGGGGGGACTCCCATATGAAACAGACGGGGATGCTCGTCGTCTCGCTTAGGGGTGTAAATTTTGGGTTTTGGTCTCACTTAGGGTGTTCCGGGCAAAGCGCCAATATTTTAAGCTGCCAAGGTCTCACTTAGGGTTCCGCGAAGAACTTGAGATTTATGACAATGCTTTTAAAAACTACTTTTAGATAAAAGCATTCGGTGATTATGTGTTTATATCATTAAAACTCATTGCATGTCGTATTTGTGTGTTTTTAAGCGGTCCCTCTTAGGGGTCCAAATTTGCTGAAGCCACGCCCAGATTGGTCTCCTTTAGGGGTCACAAAAAGCTTGAGCCACGCCCAGATGGTCTCCTTTAGGGGTTAAATTCAAAATTTCCGACGAGCATCCCCGTCTGTTTCATATGGGAGCCCCCCGGGAAAGGAGGCACTTCTTTCAAGGTATATGCTCATTTTAAGGGCACTTGTCTAGTTCTTTAGAATTTTAGCCTCATTGTGTTAGTGTCTTTTTATTAAGTGAACAAAATTATAACATTAAACAGGGCAACTAAGACAATCCTTTTGACATATTTTACTGTGTGGCACAAAATTTTTTCCAGCAATCCGCAAAAATAAGTTCCCACAAACAAAAATTACCGCAAACATTTTTCCACCAAAAATTTACTCCAGAGTCAATTCTCTAACTTTCATTTGCGACACAAAAGTACAGTACTAAGAAATTGTGTCTGTTCAATCACAACTAGTCTCTTTCATTCGGAAACAAAGTGGCATACAATGAAATACTGGTTTATTGTTTGAAAATATGTATTTCTATTGCACGTACTCATTAAAAACGAAAATATTATCAATGCAGGGTACTGGGTACTTTCTGAAAATCACAATATTTGATTACCAGCGAGAAAAAACCATCTGTCCTAATCACAAAAATTTAGTTCCCAGAAAACACAAAAATCGCCAATCGAAAAAAAAAATAAACTCCCACAAAAATTTAGGTGCCACACGGTATTTTGTCAGTATGTTGCCTTCAACTGGTCATTCTCTGGTGATTGGCCGTACGTACTATAATTATACCCTACATTGAGGTCCTGTTAGGGTACAATTCTGACAAGTGACGTGGCTGTGAAACAGCAACATAAGACTAGATAAAAATATTATGGTGACAAATGACATAGAGATGGGTTAAGTACAGACAGGGCCATGGCCTACTCCACAAAATGTGAAACAACTGTACAGTGGAACCCCGTTAATACGGTCATCAATGGGCCAAAAAAATTTGGCAGTAATAATGAGGTGACTGTATTAACAAGGGCTTTTTTACAAGGAAATGTATGGTCGTTTTGCCGGTTGGCCAAAAAAAAGTGGCGGTAATAATGAGGAGACTGTATTACTGAGGTGGCTGTAAGCCGGGGTACCACTGTATTTGAAATTCAGACTAGGGACATATGTATCCCCCCCCAACAGGACGTCTATATTTAGTAAGGTGTGGTGGGATTGAAGTTTCTAATAACAAGGGAATACAATTATTAGCCTAAAGAGGGGCCCCAAGTTTTATTTGAAGGGACACTTATTTAAAGCTGGGCGTTAGTATTGTTGTCTAATAACCCAGGATTGAATGCATAAGTACATATTCAACTGGCTTTGTTTGTCATTTCTGCTTATTCTATAGGTGTGATATGATAGAAGTGAACTGTTATTCTTAAGGACACTAATAGTAATGGCTATCAATAAGAGTTGTGCACCTCATAAGGTTTCCCTTAGCATGGATTCTCTATTATTATTATTATTATCATAATTTATGTTAGTTGATTTGTTTGCCCCCTTTTTATTGCAGGCATGAGATTTACAAAAACCAGTACAGAGCAATGTTTGTTATGAACTGCAAAGTTGTAGAGGATGAAGTTTTACGATATGAGCCTCCCCAGAAACGTAACTCAGGAAAAAAGAGAAAGAAGGAACAGAAAGGAAAATTAGTACATGAAATGGACAATTATAGCAATTTGACTACAATTGCTGGTGCAGCGTCAACGGATCGTTACCATCCTGTCACTTGCACAGAATGTAGCTCAGAAGTTGCCGTTTATGACACCGATGAAGTGTACCATTTTTTCAATGTGCTAGCAAGCCATGCTTGAATAATTAATTATAATGATTGTTAAATTATTGAGTAGAAAAATAAATCAAGTCTTCTTGTTTCATGCCAATAAACAGTGAAACACACATTAATTGAATTTAGTAATAGACAATGTAGCAGCATAGAAATATCACATGATCCTTCAATAATTATTCAGCTTGAAATAATTTGGTCCAAATGCCTACTATTGTATAGTCTGTTTATAGCCCTCCTAGTACCTAGGGATAAGAGCAAAAAAAAAAACAGCTTTGGGCACAGGGGGTAAGAAGTGGCAAGAAGGCTACCTGCTCCCACCCTGCCTTCATCTGCAGCGCCCAGTCCCTAAGGGATAAAAAAGGAAAACGAAAAGCTTGAGGGGTGGGAAGGGTCAAGGAGGTTACCTGCATCCCCTCCCTCCTTTATTTTCTTCATCTCCAAACACTTTTGCCTTTGACTTATTTCTACCTCTCTAACAACAGAGAGTCTGTTAGTATGGCCATCTGCAAGCTCATAGTTAGATTACTGATGTATGAGAGAGCTATTTGGAGTGTGAAAGTCAGCAGTAGATCTAAGTGAGGCAAGCCTCCCCACAAAATCTTTGCTTGCAAATATTTGCTCTTTTCGACTGGAATTATTCTTCCTTTTGACCTGGTCACTCTGAACTTGATCAAGGAGGTATTTGAAAAACTATCTGATGAATAGGCTAAACTACTTTCACTTGACACTGCCATTTTCCATTGCTGTTCACTTGATAGAAATTCTCCTCTGTTCTGATTAGCTGGGAGATTTTTAAGCACAAAAGAGGAATCCATGACAATTTACCGGCAGCCTTATTATAGTGTTAGAGGCTCCAAGATTTGCTGATAATAAAATGTTTACAGATAACAAAGTTTAGTTGAGCTCTTATTTTTATTTTTTACTGGTGGGATATTTACAGTAAAAAACGTATGCGGAGGAATGTGCCACTAAAGACTAGAATTCAGAAGATCTTGAACCGAGGCAGGGCATCAAACTTGTGCTGTGCAAAGGGAGGTCTTCCTCTCTGATCTATCCTATACTTGGTCTACATTATTATTTTTAAAAAAATGTACTGCTGCAAGTTAAAAGGAAAATGGCTCTAGCAAATTCATACCAAGAAGGCATAACACCTCAAAAAATTTTCCCTACCATTAAAAAGATGATCTATTTAAATCTGGTGCATAAAAAATATACAGTCAAACACAGCTTTATATAAACAGACGCCCGCTTAATACAGATACCTTGTTAACAAACACTTTTTTCTGCCTCCCTCAGTGTCCGTATTTATAAAAGGGTTTGACTGTAAAACTTATCTGAAAAACAGGTGCATCCCTAGAATCTTCAACAAATTTTTTCAACTCATAAAATTTGTTGGGTGGGGCTGGGATAGGTGATGATGACCCTTTTCCTCTGCCCTGAGTGTTTTGGATTCTATCCTAGATATGACATGAAAAACTTAACTTCAGATGGTTTTTATACGTCTAGCTTGTAGGTGTACACGGTATTTTTTCTTGAGGAAAAGATTTCAGTGCTTTTTTGTGCTATTACTAAGGTATTTAAAACAAACTTTTCCTTTCGTCAAAACGAGGAGAAGCTGGCGTGGGTGCTATGACATTAAGTTGTTGTTATTTTTTTTACAAATAACGATTATTGAAGTGTTCCAAAGTTTGTCGTTCAATATTTTAGATATGTGCAAGTTTTCACAGTTCGATGTTCACGTTCTTTTTCGATGTTAGGTTGTCCTCGTCATGGGGTTCATGTCCTTCAAGGTATCCAACTTTAGGGTATTTTGCCACGTAAAGCTTGTTGTAAATACCATCCAAACGCGTCAGTTCCTCGTCCGATAAATCATCCTTAAAAATAAAGCAAAAGTGAATTTATATTTACAAGCAAGCGAAAAAAGAACCTGGAAGAAAAAAAAAATGCATGGCAAAAAAAATACTAGCAGAGCGAGGTTTTGATCCTCGGACCTCTGGGTTATGGGCCCAGCACGCTTCCACTGCGCCACTCTGCTGCCGATGGAATATGGGGGTAAATTTTATATTCTTTATTCTACACAATGACGCAAGTTGTCACGCAAGCTTTTCTCACCAAATCGTCAGTCAGATCTTCCTTTGACATCGACCACTTTGCGAGTGCTCTTGACGCATCTTTACCAGAAAACAAATTATATTTCCCTCCAGGTCCATACACTTCTGCAACATAAGGGAAAATTCCATATTTATATTAACTTTTTTATTTACTCTGATAGTGACTTGTATTAAGGATGACCAATATCTGATTTAGAAATTATAAATCCACAAATCAAGACTTGAAAAATATGATCTTACCTCTGGAGTCCGAAACATCGAACACAATTCCTTTGATTGAAACGTAGATTGGCAGAGAAGGCTGAAACAGAAAACAAAGATAAACAATTTTTGTGTAACCACTGAAAGCGGAAATCTTGCCGCAGAGTTTTGCTATTATCAAAAACTGCGCTGTCATGACATCTTTTTCTATGATATGATGCATCGTATCTGCCTTCTATTAGATGGCTACACTTTAACCCAAAATGAGGAAAAATAAAAATATCTTCATTTCTTGAGTTCTTATTCTGCTACAAGCAACTACATTCTTACATCTTCACCGTTGTATTTTGCCAACTCTTCCTTGGAAAACACTTTGTTGCCGTCTTCGTGGGCCACATTTTCATTTTCCTCTGAAAATGGTGAGTGATCGTCTACATTTTCAAGCGTTACATCTACCGCCAACGAGATAATCACTAGGAAAGATAACACGCTAAAAGACACTGCAAAACCGCTCTCCATTTTTGCGTAAATTTGCATGTTTTTGTCTTTCAGTGCGTTACGTTACACTTGCATGAGGGTAAATGAAAAATTCACGTGACCGGAAGTTACTACCGTTTCCCGCCATTTCCAGGATTTGTCGCGGGTTGCCGTTTGCTTGTGACTGCGACCTTTTCAAAGTTGCGATCGAGTTTTGAAAAAGTTTTCTTACATTCTAGAGAAAAGCTGACAATAATTTCTGCAGTAACTAAAGCTAAAGGTACTTTGTTTTATCTAGACACACGTCGCATTCGATTTACATATTTCAGGAGCCCATCATTTATTTCTGTAGACATTTCCCTTCCAAGTCCTCTGAACCCTTCGGCTTTCAAGAGTTTTTGATACAGTTGCGCTTTAAAAATTATTTTTTCCTCTGATTTCTTCTTTCAAAAAATCTGTTATTCTCCGGTAAAGGAAGTAAGGCTATGCCTTTTAAAATAAGTAGCTTAGCGCAGAAAGAGAAACCTTAAGGCTTAACTATAACCTTCCCCATTCTCAGGGATTGACTGCATTTGATCGGTCCTAGTGCCACGGTACTTCTCGGCATTTTGTAAATGATCGTAAACGAAAACAAAACTGAATGCAAAGCTGGCAATACGGCTCAGAACTGATTTATTTGAGGCCAATATTTCGGCTAACAAAATTAGTCTTCCTCAGAGCCAGAGCTACACTAAAAGAGAATACTATAACGACTCTTAAGATTTGAATTTAAATTTACACAAGAGGTTATATAATGATTAACTAAAAATGAGGACGGTAGATAATATGATAGATAGGTAAATAATAATAATTATACCATAAAGTGAGTGATAAGATACAGTTCAACTTTCGTCCTTGCGGTTTAAACCATCTGTTGAAAGAGTTTTGCCTCTATTTATGAGGTAAAAAAAGTAGTAGAAGTAGCTCTTAAATAGTTTGTCACTTAGTTTGTCCATATTCGTTCCACCAAATAGCTGAAGAGAAATGGTTAGGATTAAGCAGACTACCGAGAGGCGCAAGCCATTGGGAATAAACCACAGACTTGTTTACAAGTCTTCCATACCATCCAGAATTAAAACATACACTAAAGGAACTGAAGATGACCTGGTTCTTCCTATTTCTCCTCTGAAAATAAGTGCTCTTCCCCCGACTTCTCGCCCGATCAAGAAAATAAGACGATACCGCCCTGGTTCCCTGGCTTTGAAAGAAATTCGCAGGTACCAGAGGAGCACCGCACTGCTAATTGGGAAGTTGGCATTCCAACGGCTTGTTCGTGAAATTACTCAAAATTTCGCTCCTGGCTTGAGATTTCAACCACTGGCACTGCTCGCTTTACAAGAGGCGGCAGAGTCATATGCAGTCGGCTTGTTTGATGATGTGAATTTATGCGCTATTCACGCAAAAAGGGTTACGATCATGGCACGAGATTTACAGCTTGCTCTCAGGATTCGAGGAGACAGGCTTTCTTAATAGGATGTGACATTTTTTGCCCTTCTAGCCAGTTGTATTGGGAGACCGCGCGAAACATTCAACACACGTTCCCTGCGTGTTGCACTCATTCTTTAGCTTTTTCGCATGCCGCCAACTATGAAATAAAGTTAAGTCAAAAGGAAGCCAGATTTCTTAAATTAAAATGTTAATTTTGGGAAATGTTAATTCAAGTGTTCTTTTTAATGAGAATAAAATTATTGTAAGTCCACAAATCCAAATAAAGACTAGAAAGAAGTGAGGTTGTACGAGGACGTGATTGGAGCTTGCGCACACATTGGAATGTAATTTACAAACGGCTACGCACTCCAAGCCAATCTCATCTCCAGAGCCCTCGATAACCTTGTCCAGTAAAACAATGCTGACCACAACAACCGCAGCCTATGGGAACGATATTGACACCCGCCTTTTTGCATTTTAAAATTTCAACTTTAAAACCTTGATAAAATCGATCATAGCTCACGATTCAGGGGCAATTATGTGAGCCAAGCCCCTTATTTTATTCATTTTCCCCTTTAGACAACACGTGACTACTGCGTCTTTCTGAACAAACTTGAACCACGTTACAGATTTAGATTCACGTTAAGGTTAAACGGTATAAACGTCAGACTTAAGTTAGTCTCCCACGAGACAAACAACGGCTGCGTAGACGACTTTGGTGATAAAATTTTATCACTTAACTTTGGACAAGAGTTTCATTTTAAATTCTATACGAAAGTAATTTCTACTAGAAATGCATTTTGTTTATACTGGCTCTCTGTTGCTAGTACCTCTCTCCTACGCAGAGCTCCCGCTGGGTATTCAAATAAAAAATAGCAATGACCAAAAAATAGAAAGCGCGCGAGGAAAGATGGGAGGAGGGGAAAAGACCTCTCTTCTCCTCTTTTCACATCATATCTTTCCCGCACATTTTTCTTTTTTCCCTCTCCCCAATCTCCATCCCTCCCTACGACACAACGAGGTCTCTGTGGGGGAGAGATCGCGAGCAGTCCGAGCACGAAATAAATGGTGGTCCAAAAGCAGTCCCTTGAAGGACCTTGTAACGGCACGTAAAGGCTGTCACACAAATCAAAGACCTTCGTCAAACATTGGGGAGTATCGTTTTTAGTTTAAAAACTCTGACAAGGTTAACCATTCACACTGACAAACTTTTACTTCACTTTATAAATAGCTTTTCACATATTTATAGTTTCAAGATAAATACGTCTTTTAGTAATAAATTAACTGAAATATCAAATATCAATTTTGGATTTTCCATTTCCCTTATAAATCCTTAGTAACATCGCTAGTGGGTTTTCTGGGCGTTGGTGACTTTGGAGGTTTGGGTGACAATGGAGGTGAGCGGTTCGTCGGTATGCTTGATATTGTGTTTCTGTTATCTGAAAGTAGGCAAAAATCATGATCAATAAAGGACTATACAAGTCTTAACTAAAGAGGTAAAATATTACCTTAGTATGTAACATAGAACTGTGTAAGATCAAGAGAGGATAAAGGGGACAGAGAAGACATCCCCCATACACACCCTATTCCATAGGTAATTCGTCTCGAGTTATTTTTAAGACCATATATCCCAAGGGGGATTAGACAACAGCCAATCACATAGCGTGAATGTGTTCCACGTGGATGACCCGCCCTCAGAGCCACGCGTCCTTCACGAATTGACGCAGAAAAAAATGGTGGAAGACGTGGAGAGCGATATTGCTATTTGTTTTGTCGACGAAAACGACTAAAGAGAGATTTCTGCTAAAGCTATGTCAGCGAAACGGAAATTCAATTTTTTAGTAAAAAACAATCGCCCTTCCTCTCTTGTATAGAGCTAACACTACAGCAGGGAAATCCTTAACACACTGAATATTCTCTCAGGATCATTTATAATTTACAGTTTGAAGAGAGCAATTTCTGGTTTGATATTTATTCTTTTATTAGTCTTTTATTATTCAACAAAAATAACACTTGGCGTCCTACTTGCTTTATTGTACAAACGACCGGTTTCAATAGACCGGCGAAATTTCTCATTTTATTAAAGCACTGAGGTTACGACAACTTCGAGTTAAACTGATTTCACCGGTTGTCAAAGAGTCCAGCGATTCCCTTTTCCCAGGTGAGCGCCGACTCATTTCGCTTCAAGATTCAGGAATGCTCTCGATCTCTTTACGCTTTCATTGCCTTTCGCCCGACATGTTTTGCACGTCGTTTAGTCATGCGGAACCTCCACGAAACATCCACGCAGCGCGCGAGGTAGCTTTATCCCGATTCTAAAAATAACTCGAGACGAATTACCTATGGAATAGGGTGTGTATGGGGGATGCCTTCTCTGTCCCCTTTATCCTCTCGTGGTTAGATGGAATACGCGTCAGGGATTTAGCAATAGAACGGGAACGTCATTTGACGACGATGGGAAAGCGCGCGGAAAGGACTAAACTCGACTTCCGGTGCCCAATTTGTCGCTCTGCCAAGCGCTCTGCCAAGCCAGTTGTTTGATTTGCGCGCGTCGTCGTCAACCTGGCCCTGGTTGTTCAAAAGCTGGATAGCGCTGTCCATTGGATAAATCACTATCCAACGGATAAGTATTACGAAAACCCATTGTGCTATCCACTGGATAGTAATTTATCCAGAGGATAGGGCTATCCACCTTTCGAACAACTGGGTCCAGGTCGTCAATTGACCTTCCATTTCTGTTGCAGTAACATGGTCAAATGTCCCAAGAATCTCCTTCACGATTGGGGTTAACACTTTCAAAAAGTAAAGGTAATAAAGGCGAGATTGTGAGCTTTTTACAGCAAAAAGTCGCACTGTGGGAGACTAGTCAAGGTGAAGACCGGAAAATGTTTCTTTCTGAGAACTTAAGAATATACTGACTTAAATCAGCTCCTATTTAAAAAAATTATGCCAATTTCATTTACGTTTCTGATTTGGCTCCCCTTTGCACCTCTCAGTTTCATTAAAACCGAACAATATCAAAGAAACCTTTTTGTCCTGAGTACCTAGCACTCCTAATGAGGCATTAAATACATTTATTTTATAACGCTTGGAAAAAGTATGGAGTATCTTAGCTGTGAAAGCCAAGGAACCTCTGAACTTTATCAAATTCCACACATGGAATATATTCATGTTGATCACGCAAGGAGGACCTGCGTACAGCGTACTCAAACTTGGTAACAAAATCACAAAGGTTTGCGAAATCACTTAATTTCTAAGAAAAAAACGAATCACAAAACGAAGGGTTGTTATGTTAAGAATATCGTGACGTGTTTGTGGATGTTCTGAAAAGCATTAGACGGGAAAACGGAACTTAAGGACATTCTAAAATTTATTTGATCAACTCAAATACGGCAAAAGTTTTCTTCAGACTTTCCTGCGTCTTCAACTCTTCTTGCCACTAGATCGGTCATCCATCTGTTTTGAAGCTCTTTGAAGATGATGGCCTGTTGCTCGCGCTTCGTACCCTTCGACCCTTCCGGGATGGGGTGTGCATGCGTTTTCAGACAAACGAATTACAATGACATCATTTTAATAAGCGTACCAAATCCAAACAAAATGAGAAACTATCAACAATTGAAAAAACTGGACAACAACAAATCTGAAAATAGTTCTTGCTAGGTAAAGGTGCCAGTAAAGATGCCGAAAAACGGGGTAACTAAAAACGTGCAACTTGTTTTGCAACATTGCGGCAAAACGAGTTGAATAACGATGTTGCGCGTTTTACCACCCAAATAAAACCTGTTTTGCAACAAATAAAATGCAGGTTTGAACATTGGTGGTAAAACGCGCAACATCGCCATTTAACTCGTTTTGCAGCAAGGTTGCAAAACAAGTTGCACTTTTTTCGTTGCCCGTTTTTCCGTGCCTTAAACAAAACTCTTCACAGGATTGCCCTAACAAATCGAAGTACAGGTTACTCATTAACATAACAGTCCTTATGTAACGTTTAGCAACAGAAACTACATTTTTCGGCATGTCCTGCAACCTATGACCTGTGAAGTGTGACCTGACCTGTGGCCTGTGACCTGCACTTTAGTCTACCTTACGCAAATGGCACAAGTATGAGGAGTGTGTAAGCTTTCAGAATAAAGAGGAAATAATAATTTGAAAATTAGAAGGAAATTAACAAATGTGATTAATGCCTGAATGACTGTCACACAGGCTTTACGACATGCTTTAAAATTGAATAGTCAAGTTCTCAACCATTCATCAGTAGTGACTAACCCGTTAAAGCCAATTTGTACTTTAGAATCATATCAATTTATCTTACTTGTCCAAGCTTTCTCAGTGAAGCCTCCAAAAATGTTTTCACCACTTTTTACAACAGTGATTGTTGGTCCTTTGTTGTCGCATTTGGAATGAAACTTTAAAGCAGCAAAACCATTTCGCGAAGCTCGGAATAGCAAACGCCATTCGCCTTTCATAATTAAAGGAGGTCACACTTTTGGGCTCCTTCCTGTAATAATTAACACTATATATACTAGGAGTAATCGGAGCTTAGGAGAGTGCGTCCAACATGTTTGTTAGCTATTTAGCAGCGGGCCAAATCTCCAATTAAAGTACAGTTAGTAACAACGGGTCAAACAGTGACTATGATCCTCGGGATGTTCTTTTGCACCGTAGAATGGTCAATAAAATTGGCTAAAAGTTGGGATACAGAAAATTAAAGTCATCAGAAAAGTTTGTTGATTGAGATGTTAAAGCGCCGTGTATCACTTTGAAACCCTTGTTGTGTGACACTGGGTTAACACGACTCACCTACTTAGCACTGTTTTTCAAATATAACGCACCCGGAATTAGTGAGATGCAAAGGTCAACGTTTCATCCGATTCAGTTTCTGGTATGAACAGCGCTTTACGAAGACAAGAACTACCACGCCAGTTAGAGCGTCAAAGTGAGGCAAATATCTCGCCTATTAATTGCACAGGACACCCACGTAAAGGAACGTAAAGGCTGTCACACACGGACCTTCGTCAAACATTGGGGAGCATTTTTTCAGCTTTAAAAATCTCTAACCAGGTTAACCATTCATACTGACAAACTTTTACTTCACTTTATAAATAGCTTTTCACATATTCACAGTTTCAAGATAAATACGTCTTTTAGTAATAAAACTTAAATATCACATATCAACTTTGGATTTTTCATTTCTTTTATAATTTGTCAATCCTTCGTAACATCGCTAGTGGATTTTCTGCGCGTCGGTGACTTTGGAGGTTTGGGTGACAGTGGAGGTGAGCGGTTCGTCGCTATGCTTGATTTTGTCTTTCTGTTATCTGAAAGTAGACAAAAGTCATGATTACTAAAGGACTATACACGTCTTAACCAGCGAGGTAAAATATTACCTTGGTATGTTACATGAAACTGTGTATGATGGAATATCTCCGTCTTAATTGCGTTTGTCTTTAAGGGAAGGTAGCCTGCGAACGCAGACATATTTTCGGTTGGGTGGAGAGAAGAAGCAGGGTTAGGGAAAAGAGTAATAGCGGAATGAAATTCGTTCTCGTTCTCTTCGGCGAGTAATTCTGGTACAGTCGAAGCCCTCGTAAGCAACCACCTCGGAAATTCAAAAAACTGGTGGTAACTTGAGCTGGTGGCATAAGAGAATGAGCTCTCGTAAGCGCTCGCATGGTAAAACAATAAAGGGTGGTCGCTTACGCGAGTTTCAAACACTCAATAAAAACACAAAAGAACTTTATAATGTGTAATGAGTGTCTTTATATCTGATATTGACACAGCTAAACTTTACGTCCAACTTTTTGGACCTTGAACTTTTACAAAAAATATACTGTGCTGTACAAGATCTTTATTGACGTACCATTAAGCACAGTGGGCAGTTTCATTATTGATTTAAATAAAGACTATAAGTGATCGCTTACGAGAGCTTTTCATTACAAAGTTTAAGTTGCAGTTCAAACGGGGTTTCCCAAAGGAGGTCGTTATTACAGCTGGTCGCCTACAAGAGTGGTCGTAAGGAGAGCTTCGACTGTATATGGGCAAAAAAAAACAACACTTTTTTGCAGGACAAAGTGGGTGTTGGCGAACAGGAAAGACAGGCTCGCGTTGCCTGCTAGTGCAGCCAATAATAATAACAGAAAAAAAAAACAACAACAACACAGGATCTGTTTTATCTTGAACCCTCGCGAAACCAGCTATGTAGTGAACGTCATGTCATGAGATTGTTCTTGACCGGTGCAAGTTACTTTAAACATTGCCGAATTTAGGCAAAACGTGCATAGTTTGATTCTTAAGTGTGTGCTAACTTGTACTCGCATAAAGCTGAAGCTCTAAAAGCATACTACAAGGTAATAAAAAAGCGTACGACAATTCCGCTTGATGAAAATGTTAAAATTTATGGGAGGGTGATTAAGTTCCAGGACAAGGAAGGCGCCAAAACAAACACGATTATCAATTATATTCTCACCTTCAGGCGGTTTCCGACTGGATTGACCAGTGTCTGTAAACGAAAACGAATATTCTAATTACGCTACAGTACTTTATGGGTTCAGTAAAACTTGAAGCAATATCTTAGCCATAGGACTGTATTTGTTCGTAGTGATAAGTTCATCATCATCAGAAACAATAGACCATAGTCTTTGCCAGGCTCTCATTCGGGACCGGTGGCCCGTTTCTCGGAAGACCCGGAAACTTTTCGGGCCCCAAGGCAAATTTCAAAATCACAACCTGCTGAAAAGCAGCACAGTTCCAAGCCCACATACCGGTCAATTTTGCTTCGTCAACTGATAGTTTCATTGTATTATTTTCAAAATTATTGAAACTTTGATCTTGGACGCAAACACAACAAACACACACAGCTTTCCTGGCCCGAAAAGTTACCGGGACATTCGAGAAACAGGCCCCGGGTCCGTTCTCGACTAAATACCTTAGTGCCTGAATAAAAATACTTACGAAATAGGCCAGGGGGTGAAGAGGAGAAATAGTATGGTAGGGTAAGACAAGGAAGGGTGGGAAAAGGAAAGGCGCAGCCGAGCAGAGAATTGAAGTGGGACAATTGGAACAGAGGTTGTTTATCATTTACAAAACGTTTCCGGAAAATCCCGTTGGAAAGTAAATGGTATAGAGAGCACGGTCGTTCCAGAGGGATCGAAATTTCCGGGAGCAACTGAACATCTGAAAAGGTATAGTCCTGTGTTTTCCGGACGGAATATTCCAAACGGAAATTTGTGTTTCATTTGTTCAAAGCCATGTTTACACCAGTTTTACGTCTTCGCGACCGTTTCTTGGTAAATGAAACTGATTTGTACAAATGATAATCGCGATTCCGAAACGAAATTTACCAGTCCTGAGTTTTGCTTTCCATTTGCCCAAACCGTGAACAGGTCTGCCCATGCATGTAAATGGTAAACAAGTAGTGATACAAACCTTTTGGTCTCAAGTTGGCTACACCATCGATAAAATGAGCCAGCACTGAAAGTTGCTCCTCAAGTTGCTGATGAATTTCATCAATCCTAATGAAAGAAGACACCGAACAGTCTATTAAATGGCTTCCTCGTAATATAAAACAAGAAATATATCGAGATAGGTAAGTAACTCAGAGAATTACGTGACTGAGTCGCTCGTTACAACCTTAAAGAATTACATGAATCCCGAGTAGCCACTCACGCACGTTTCGTCCATACGAATCCAGATCTTTTTGGAACCGCGTAAACCGCATCTTAAGAGTGTCCAGAGTGGTTTAAGGCCCCGTTCACACGAAAACGGTTAAATAGAATATAAGGTTTCAAAATTTCCGGATTTGTGTGGACGTGGCCTAAAACAGGTAAGCGCGCGAGGAGGCGAGTGAAGGTAGTCAAAGAAGTTCACCCATAACTAGACACACAAGTCGCGTTATCTCACATCTCTGTTTGTTCCTCACCTTTCTTCTCGCACACTAGTTTCTCCTTGGAGTCTTTCAATGTCGCCTAGCATCTGTAGATCACGCTCAGCATTGATCTGTTAAAAGAAATACGAAAAACACTAAGAATACTTCGTGGGATATTCTATAATTGACACTGTGTATTTTGGTTTGACTGAGCATATCTTTACGAGCTGTTCCTTCTAATACCAACCTTATCAAGCAGAAGATCCTCTTTCCAGTTCTCCTGCAGTATTTCTGAAAGAAAAGTCAGAGATGAGAGGTGGTCGCACATCGAGGTTGGACTGCATCGGTTTTTTGTATACTACTCCTCTTAACCTTTTTAGTCCAGCCCCAAGAGTGACCAACATCAATTTTCTCCAAACAACATCAATACATCATCAAAACAGAAGGTTAGGAGAGTTAAAGAAATGATCAGTCATGGAAATCAGTCTAGAGAATTTATATCTGAATATCGGGGCTAAAAGAGTTTTTTCAATCAAATTACCCCTGTAGTCCAACAGCCGTTTCTCTAGTGAGCCTTGTGTTCCAGCGTTAGCAATCATCGCCTTCCTTGTGGTTTCAATTTCTGTTTCCAGTTGTCTAATGGCCTGAAAAAACACACAATAAGCAGCAAACGCAGTAAATTTCCGTTCTCCTTTGTAAAAGAGAAACGTCGCATTAGGAAGTATCACGCCGTAGTCGTGAGTGGACGTCAAAGAAATGTACCAAAGAGTTTGATGTACGTGCAGAGCTGTTGTTTTGCGAATAAAACCACTCACTCTGAATTGTTTTTTGACGTTCATAATGGTTCCTTAAGATCCCTTGTTACTACCTCTTACAGAGCAACGATCTCAACCTGGGCCAGCTTATGTGCCAGCCAACAGCCACGGCCATTCAAGGGCCACGTTCATTACAAAGGAGTCTGAGTTGGCGAGTTCGCTAGCCAATCAACATCGACAACATTTGTTGAAATCTCAGGGTGTTCGTGGCTCCGGGTTAAGTTCGCTGCCTATAATATTTTCAACATAGATTAAGTGAATACTCTCACCATGTCTGCTACAAGACACTTAGGCAATGAATTAAGGAACATGATCAGTAAACGTACCTGCTTGAATCTTGAGCCAACATGAAAGAGAAAAGAAACAAAATGAGAAAGTGAAATACAATTTGGAAGAACCATAGATTCAAGCCATTTATGTCCCAAATATTCGACGGGGAATCTCCAAGGAAAAAAATATACAAAAGTAGAGTACATTTTGATCTCTAACCTGTGGTTCTCTTTGAGAACAGCTCCTAGCCGCTGACCAGAAGAAAAAATAGCAGTTTCAATCTTTTTTATGTCCTCTGATTGGTTCTTAAGTTGATCCAAAGCCTCTACCCGCCTCTCACGCAACTTCAGGTGTAGCCGAGTCTGTTGGTAAAGCAGCGATAAAAGTCAAGTCTCTACGCACAATATATCCACACTTTGTTAACAAAACAGAGGATAAATTAAAGGCGAGGGAATTGAAATAGATATGTGTACCATGTGTGGTAAATCAACTGAGTTAAGCTATGTCACACAGTCCGCTTATTGTGTGAACGAACACAAATCTTCGCGTTGATCTCTCCTGTCCACACAAGAACGACATAACGATCATAGCAAGAAGATATTTTCGTAACAATTTTCAGTGTGGATAAGTTCGTTAACGCATTGACATCGTTATGGTGTAGTCAGCAGTGCTAAGCATATGATAACAAACGGACTTGTGTGGACCGGCTCCTATTCCCAAGGGAGGGAGACGGGGGGAACTCCCATAAAAAGAGACGGGGATGCTTGCCGTTTCACTTAGGGGTGTTTAATTGCAGGTTTTGGTCTCACTTAAAGCGTTCGGGACGGAAAGCTAATATTAATATTTTGACCTATACAGTCACAGCTGAGAGCAGAGCGTGAAGAAATAATTAAGTACAGCTATTTCGAGAAAGGTTGTGGGAAAAAGTGCACGCGACAATCCCGAAGGGTATTGTTGGTGGTTTTGGGTTCATTGTTCTTCGAAAAAATTTGAAAGAATGGCATGACAGGCCATGGACGTATGTTTGCGAGTGCTAAAGAAAAGCAATAAAAGTAGGTTCGACAGCTACAGTGTCAGGTCTAGGAACAGTGTATTGATCAGATCCCATGTTACCTTTCGGGATTGCCGCTTCCACATTTTTTCCGACAACCTTTCTCGAAATAGCTGTATATAAAATAACAAAACGCCGTCATGCTGTCACTGTACTACAGCTCACTACAGTTCCAATAATTAGTTTCGGGAATTAGTTGCCTGTTTTACTGTTTTACTTTTAGGACGGGTCAAATAAAACCTTAGCCATGCACCTAATTTGTCTCTTTTATAAGCACCCCCATAACCTCCATACGGAAGTCACCCCCGAAGGGAGGAGGCAGGGGTGCTCCCGTCCCAATCCGTAACTTGTCAGCACGTGATTTCCCGCGTTTGGTATCAGCTACACGTGTTGGCTTCGAGATTTGATTGGTTGTTTGGATTGTCAGGTTGTGCTGCGATTGGCGGGCAATAAAACACACGCCTTTTTTGTCTTAGCCTAAACCAATCAGCAGTATTAACGACACTGCCCAAAAAAGCTCTAATCCCAACTACCCAAAGCGCGTTGTTAGTTTAATATCACCAACCTGTGGCTCTGCTAACTTGTCCACATCTCTCTGAGCCCTTTCCACGGATGTTTCTAAACTTGCCTTCTTGTTTTTAAGGTCTGCAATATACACAGAAACACTGCCTTTTTAAAATCCCTGTATTACGATGCATTTTCAAAGGCCGGATAATGTAAAACTAACAATTCACGGGTGGGATGTTTAACCCTCATTCCCTTGTGAAAATATATACTTTTTTCCTTTATAACTAATCATATGCAACTAATAACTGTAGTCCTAAAACCCAGAAAACTACATGTAAGACCAAACCCGTCAATCGATGCTTATTTCCGGAAAAGACACGTTTTTAAAACCAAAACACTGTAAAATCAAGCCCGCAAAGGAGGCACACATATAATTGTTTATTTCAGAAAGTACCCCACCCCAAGATCAAAGGTGAAAACGTACTACGTTGGCAGACTCGAGACGTCCTGGCTCAAACTCTTATTTTCATCGAAAGCGGATTGTACGCGGGCGCTTGCGAAAGACGCACCAACTGATCAACCTCCAGAGTCCGCTCATCGAACAAAAAGAAGCAGTAAACGCCACCAGTAAATCTTTCCTTTACGTATAAAGATGTGCGTACTCAGTGTATACAAACCAAAAAGGTGGCTAGGCCACCCAGAGGTTGATTTTGTTTCAAAATATTTCTCTTCTATTCAACAAAAGGAATATGAAACGGGCTCTAGACTGTTTTGACCACGATGCCAGTTTTCCTGATTGGATGGCATTGTTTCTTACATATTTGCGAACCTAGACGTATTTCCGGTCGTTACTCATCTCTCCACCCGACCGGAAATACGTCTTCGTTCGCAGGCTAATGGCTGGGCGACACAGTAACAATATCGCATCAGACTTTGAAGTCAGTTATATGAAGCTGCAGTCTCACTAGCCTTCGCGCAGACGTCTCGTGTTTCTTTCGTTGCACCCTTTTCCCGCAAACAACAATTGAAAGAGGAGTTGCACGCAGGCTACTTTCTTACCCACTATGCTTTTTTTCGTTGTTTCGAACTCCTCAGTCTGTTCTTTGAATTGAGCTTCCACGTCCTTGAAGACTGGCTGAAAGACATAAACAATAACAAAATAACAAATGACACGTGTTCTGAATTTCTGTTTGACAAAGCACTTGCAGTGAAGTTTCAGAAATTGTTTCCAAAGTTGCAACCACTGCAAAAAAAAAAGGTATGAAAAAGAGGAATGGCGTAGATCAGGGCGTGCCGTCCGCCCGCCCAGCAAACAAAGGAATACTCTTCTAAAATATTACCTACTGCCATTAAGTTGGAAAAACTGATATTAGTCAACTGCTCTGGTTGGTGTATTTGTTCAGTCGGTCGGTCAGTCATTCGGCAGCCTGGTAAGTCGTTCCTCGTTCGTTGATATCTCGGAAATCCATCGTCCGCATAATTCTTCATTTTTTCATTCCCTCCGTTCACTATCATATTCGTTTACTCATTCGTTGTTAAGTTTGTTCAACCGGTTGGTTTGTCGGTCGGTCGTTCTGTCCTCAGTCGATGCTTTTCCTGTAAGTTATCGATTCGTCTATTTCTTGGTTCATTCGTTCACTTATAGTTCGTAGAGGTTTGTCCGTTAATCATTCCGTTAGCTAGAGCTCACTTACTTACCGTTTTGTCCTCGATTATATCTTTTTTCTTGCCCCTTTCTTTTTCTAATTTTTCAATGCTTTCCTGAGGAGGTAAAAAGAGCAATCGGACATTCTTCACTCGAAATTAATGGAATAGCTATCTATTTAAGGATACCACAGTGAACAAATTTGAGACCTTCAGGGGCAAGTAAGAAAACTTCGTGAGTTTAACAAAAAGTGGCGCAAAATCTGTTAGCCAATCAAAAGCTCAAAAAATGTACAAACAGATCAAAATTAAAATGAACAGGATAGTTTGGAAAATCTTGACACCTGTTAGTTAACGCACAACTTACTTGAAGAGTCTTCAGCTGTGTCTTGAGCTGTTTCTGTAATGTTGTGTAATCCTGTTTAGCTTTCTTCAGCTGTTTTTGTTTTTCAATTATATCCAGTTCATCTTTTTTCAAGTCTTTCTGCAGCTGTGTTCCCTTCAATGAAGACACCACAAAAACAAAAACGTTAGCCTATATGAACCACTGAGCAGAGTTCTATCTAGGGTATTTGAAGGGTAGAAGCGTTATCATTTCAGTATATAAGTAACTATATCGGAAAAATCATCCAGACGTGACGAGGTCAGTGCACACATTGCAATTGCATTTCTCAAAATTGTCTCAAAATGCACCAGACTGCATCCCAGCGCATATTCTTTTAATTTCGGGGGGCCATGCCCGCGAACCCCCCTAGGAAGCTCGTGGCCTTCGGCCACTCAGGACTTCTCAACCAAACGATAAATCGTAGATAGAACCCTGCTAAGTGTTTATGACAATGCCTTCGGTTGACAGGTAGGCTGCCATGCTACAGATGAAGTCATAGCACTTCTCAACCTGTTTTCTCTATGTGTTCAAACTCATTTCCCCTCCCCCGGAAGATTAAAATTAGTTTATTCCTCAGCATTTTCGGGCGGGCTTAGTATTGTGAAAATTTTAATAATCAACTGTTGTTGTTGTTAGGGTCAAAATGAAATTCCTAATTTCATTGGTTTTACGTCACTAAGCTTTGTGGTTGACTTAAGGTAACGCGCACACGAAACACGCCGCGCGCGGGTTGATACATGCAAAAAAAATCATGATTAGTTTTGGTCGAACTTGCGATGGTTACGAGAGTGGCGCGAAATTTTTAAGCTCGTCATACGTGGTATCGATATCAAACAAAGTCACTTGCAAAAAGGCCACTGAAATGAAGTACCAAGTTGAGACTGGGCCGTCGATGTTGTGTTTAAGTGCATAATGGGACCGTTTTGGGATACGAATTTTGACTCAGTTTCCAACGCTGCCTCTTTCAGCTAAAACTCAAAACAGTCCCACAGTGCAATGGGACGCAACAACGGCACCGTCCCACGCGCAAACTTTAAAGACAGAAAAAAAGAAAGAAAAATAGAGAAAAAGGAAGCAGTCAGGCGTAACTTCCATGATGCATTACCAAACCTGCATCTAAGGGAACACTCTGATATTTTTTTGGTTTGACCTACTCGCCAATTACGAATCGAGAAGGGAACTGGAGCCGAAATGCGTCCCGCAATTGCTTCTGGGATCGTTACTAGGGACGCGCCTGTCAGCTATTGGTCAGCTACAGTCCCAGAAGTCTTTGCCAAAGTTAACTCGGTCCAGTCTCCCTCTCGTTTCTATAGTAACGAATTACTTTTAACACTTACATATTCTGTTAGTCTCGCATGTTCAGCTTTTCCTTCAGTTACTTTCTTCGACATTGTTGCCATGTATCGTCCATAATCACTCTTAAACTCGTTTACTTCCTTTGTTACGTTGTCACGTTTAGTCTGCAAGGTTTGCCTACAGAAAAAGAAATATCGACATTTAATTTTATGTACCACAGATTTGCGTAGAGCTACTGTACATGTGAATGTAGGGCACTCAGCAAGTATACCGTACATCCTCTATTGAAGGGGGGGGGCTTTAAATTTCAAACACATTTGAGGGGGGGGGTGCTTAATAGAGACGGGAGGCTTATTTAATTTAGCACAGAAGACGGTATCAGCACTCAATAAATGAACTAGAATACAAAGTGGGAAAGCTCAAGTACAAGAAGTTGGAGGTCATGCAGTCGAGGATCCAACACAAATCCGATCTTCCAGTTGGTGAATAAACCATCTCGGATCAGCCCACACGAATTTTTACAGTCGCCATTGATTAATACAGTCTATCATTTATTAGTTAAGGATAACAAGGGGAGCCCGGGAAGGGGAGGGCTTATTAGAGAGGGGGGATTATTTTAAGCTGTACTCACCTGTCCTTTCTTTCAGACGACAAAGATGTTTTAGAAGCCTCGATTTCTTTAGTGAACACATCTACAGTTGCCCTGAAAAAAATAAAAGACCAATAAAGGGAACAATAAAACACACAAATTACAAGACTGTCTTTTCACTTTGTATGTTTTTTTCTCCCTAGTGCATGATTTTTTTTTCAATGAATTACAAAAATCCCATCGTTAGCGTTCCAAACAGCCGGATCTCCTCGCTCCTCGCCGCTTGGAGACGTTTCGCCTGCACAAATTCCCCTCCTGGCGAAACGTCCGTTTAGGCGAAATGTTTCGCCTGCACAAATTCCCCTCCCGGCGAAAGGTCCGTTTAGGCGAAACGTTTCGCCGGCACAAATTCCCCTCCTGGCGAAACGTCCGTTTAGGCGAATTGTAACGCCAGTTCTGCAGGCTTCGTAAACCTATAAGTGAAAGAAACACTTACGAAAGTGCAAGCGGCTGATTAGCTAGGAAGCAGTGAGAGCTAGTCAATTTTGTAACATTCACTTCTAATGGTTAGTCTAAGGAACAAGCAATTTGACCAGTAAAATAAACGTTTTTATCTTACTTATGAATTTCCTCTAGCTGCCCCATCTCTTCTTCCATTTCCATGTTTTCAGATCTTATTCGGGCGCACTGTTCATTCTGACGATGTAAAGATTCCTTTGCTCTCTTAAGTCTAAAGATTTATGACAGGAGAGGCATGCATTGAATTCAGACAGTTGGAAATGATATGAAAACGCAGCTACTCGTTGCAAATTCACATCATTCACTCGCCTAAGAAAACAGCCGACATTTCACGACGACACCACTGGTTTCCTAGCCTCCCACACAGGTGCACGCGTTCTTTCCCCGCGTGACGAACCCTTCGTGGGAGGTTACAAGTTTCCACGCGAAATGACGTCCGAGGAACGAGCGCAGAAATTCCATACTGATGACGTGTCACTAGTGACTCTGATTGGTCGTGCCGCGACGGAATCTTGCTTCAACTGCCGCTTCAACTAATCAGAGGCACTACCCAGATCTGGTTAGCAACACGTCATCAGTATGAAATCCCTGCACTCGTTCCTCAGAACTCATTTGACGCTGAAACCAGCGGTGGGGTCGCGAAATGTTGGCTGTTTTCTCAAGCAAATCATTCACCCACGCCCTTGACTCACAACCCAAGACCAAAGTCAAACTCCTCCCTGAAACAAGGTTGACACATTTGAGTTGCCAAATCTGAAAACAGAAATGCAAGTGCTCCCAGCAGGATAGCCCATGTACAGATCCCCCTCCCCATCTCCCCTCAGGAAAAATCGGAAAACTCTCTATGATCTTCTGATTACTAGCTAGCCCAGCTGCTCTACCACTGAGCTACAGAAGACTGGTGGAAGCCAAGGCCATATTAACTTTGACCAAAAAAAGTGGTCTTAGTTTAACGCGCAGATGTGGAAAAATCTTAGCTACATTTTCTAATAAAACATAAGCCTACCCCCTCCCCCGCCCCAATTCAAAGACTTCCTTGCAATTTTTGAATATGATTCTAAAATCCTTGAGGCCTCAATAAAGTTCCAATTTTATGAAATGTTGGTGGTCTGAATAACCCTTTACACTCAAAGAGTGACCAACATCAATATTCTCATATCAATACAAAATCAAGAGAAAAAGTTACGAGAGTTTATAAAATGATCAACAAAGGGAAAATGCTTTGGTCTTTAACAAAGGATTAACCTGTTAAAAGCCCTATAAGTAGGGTGGCGCTTACTTTCTTTCATGTTGTCGAACAACCTCAGCATCTTGTTCCTGAAGTTCAATAGCAGTCTCTAGATCTAGAAATATAAATAAGAAAATAAGGAGATACCCTTAATCAGAGAATGTCCAAAGCAAACAATCCCAGATCAATAAACAAACAAACAAGCAAAACCAGAGGGCATGGAAACACGATGAAAAGCAACATACACAGTCTAGGGCCCCAGGCAGTCACTGGTTTATTCCACACAACTCAGACTAGGGATTTCAACTACAGTTGAAGCTCTCGTAAGCGACCACCTCGGAAATTCAAGAAAGTGGTTAAAACCAGAGCTGGTCGCTTACAAGAGTGAGCTCTTGTCAGTAAGGGACCGTATTGTGAAACGTTAGAGGGTGGTCGCTTACAAAAGCTTTAGAAACCACAAACACACTAGTAACGTGAGCTTGGGACGCCTGAGCAGAAACTCATTAATAATTTATAATGCAAAAACAAAAGAACTTTGACAATGTATAACGAGCTGATATAGACAAGGCTAAACTTTACGTCCAATTTTGTAGACGAAAATAACCCCAAGTCCAAATGCTAGTGCACGAATGAGTTGAATGGTCGCTTACAAGAGCTTAAAAACAAAGGAAAAGTCCAGTTGGGTAATCTAAAAAGTGGTCGCGATCGCTTACGGGAGGTTTTCATCACAAAGTTTAAGTCAACGTTCAAACGGGGGTTTCACAAAGGTGGCCGTAAGTAGAGCTGGTCGCTTACGAGAGTGGTCGCTAGGATAGCTTTGATGAAGATATGGACATCAGATCAAGTTGATTGGATATTAGCCAAGTACTTTTTTGCGTTTTTATCAACCGAGAAAAAGTCGAGGTCAACAAAAACACAAATACGAAAAGCCAATATCCAGCAATGTGGGAAATCTCTAGCACGCAAGATAGACCTGGGGAGGGGGGGATACTTCCTTGTCATCAACTGATAGGGATGCGCTGCCGGATGGGGTTGCATTTTCACGACTGGATTGACTATAATGGGGCTTTATTTTCACTAGAGTTACCGGAATGGGATCACACATTTTCGGGATTAAGGGGGATCAGAAAATTCAGGTAGGTAGGGATTTAAAAATGGGAATTTAACTTAACCAACGTGAAAAAACAAATCAGGATGACTGAGATTTCCCACATTGCTGGATATCAGGATGACTTAGTTAAAGGCTTTATAACTTAGATGCATAAAAAGAAAGTTACAAGGTTGGGATAGTGAAAATGACATTTTCCAAAAAGTGACTAAGATGGGATCTATATTTGGCCACAGGATAGACTAAGGTGGGGTAGGGGTTCTGAGAGGCCAGCAACACATACCCAGCACATCCCCCCACCCCTCCCCAGGAAGATAACGCAATTTGCCCTCTTGAGTAGCCAATCAGAACAAAAGAGTCGCTTCATCTTGCCCGCTTGCAAACTCAGCCATATATTTTCTAACTGTTGCTAGGTGTAACAGGAAGTAGGGAGTTGTATCCTGAAGTCCAATTTATTGCTTTTCCCTAATGGACAAATAGGACATTATAATCTTTATTAAAAGACAATGTAAACCTTTTTGCAGGCATTTCTTCTCAAAACTTAGCTGTTTTTCTTGTTCTTCTGCTTCTTTCAGATTTGTCTGTAGCTAGTGAAAAAAGACAATCTCATTCCATTTTTGTTAAAAAAGAGAATGCATGCACTGTGTGTTAAATACATAAATAGTTTATATACATTAATACAGGTCATTTAACCTAGGTTGATTCTCAATTGCTAATGTCTCGTAGCCCTAGAAGACAAAGGAAATTAAGAATCAACCAAGGTTAAAAAATTTTAACCTGAAATCAAATTTGACTTGAAACATATACATGGTTAATTTGATTGAAAATTATATTGAGTGTTAATTATTTTATCATTTTATTTCGTAGCTTACATGTCAGTGCACAAATAAAATGATCCCGTTATTTTTTGCAGCCTTCATACCATTTCATGATCATACCATACTATGGTGATGCTGATGACCGCGTCTTTTAAAGCGACATAGTTTTGTGTTAAACGGTTATAATTAGTTTTACTATACTGTGCCCTTTCTCCATTCTTAATTTTCTTGCTGACCTTATGTACAAAGTCATGTAGTTTTTTTTTGTCTAAACAACTTCTATTAATTAATATTGTACAAAATATCGAGCACATAACGCAATCAGTTTTTTGTTTTGTCCACTGGAACAGGATAGTGATTTATCCGTGGATAGTGCTACACAACTTTTGAAAAACTGGAGCCTGATGTATTTTTTTTTATATAGAATGGAGTAAATAAAAATACACATACCATTTCTAGCTGTGCCAACAGTGCCCGCTTTTTGGCCTCCAATCCCTCAGTCATTTCATTGTGCTCCTTGACAATTTTCATCCTAAAAATGATGGAATTCAAATGAACTTTCCTAGTTTAAAATTCATACATCTATATGACTCAACAAAACAAACCTCAAACTTCTCAAACTTTGCACTTTGCATCTATATAACTCAACAAAATACATGAGCAAAAAGTTTAAGCTCATTATGTGTGCAACCTCAAAACTCAAGATTTCCGTGTGACTTCTCTAGAAAATATCCATGCACCCCCAAACAATGCAGCTTTACTGGTTCAATGTGTCACCCCCCTCCATGGAACTCTACATCTTCCAGTTTAGCCTCATCCTTATTTTAAAAATAATTTTGCCCTTTGACACCCTCCTCCCTGGAAAATTATTATGACTCTCCATGGTGTGGGTTTGGATGGCACCGTGTGAAGCAACTGCGAAAGAGGTTTCATTTGAATTGCCACACCACAGGATATCATCCAGACTCAAAAATTAGTACTTCCTAAAGTTCGAAGCTCCACCATTTCCATGGGGAGCTGTATGCTTAAGATCCCCCCAGTTTTGCGTGGTGTTCTTATTCATGTTCTAGCATTAGATTCATTAGTGAATAATGTTTCTTTGAGTAAGCGTTAAGCTATGTGCAAACTGACACAACAACTCCCAATATTGTTGGGCTAACAATGTCGGTAGTGGTGTGAAAACAGATGCAATAAATAACTCCCAACAATGTTGGAACCTGCAGTGCATTGTGGGAATGATACAACCCATAAGACTTTGGAGATCATGTGTAATGTGCATGCATAGCACCAACAATGTTGCAAGAGCTGTGCAAATGGATCCAACATTGTTGTACTACGCTTCAGCGATCACAGAACAAAAGAAATGTTAGGACTTGTTGGCTCAAAAGTTTGACCAGTTTCAAACTTTGCGCAACAACTCCCAACAACATGCAACAAAATGTGCAACCAGACAGAACATGTAACATTCAAAAAGTTGTTGCCAACATTGCAAACAGACAGAACGGAAATAGAACATTCTGAGCAAATTTTTGGGCAAATGTCCCTTTGGGAATTAAGTTGGTCAAGCAAGGCTTATTGCTCACTTCCGGTTGACGTGCGTCGCTCAAAAACGTCGCTGCTTAAGCTCCCTAATGTTGGATGCGTTTGCACATGTAGGGCTTTACATGTGGATACAAAAGTTTGACAACTCACCCTTCTTGTGTTAAATTGGCATTATCTTTGATCTCCTTCAGAAGATGTCTGTTTAGTTGAACTTCTTGAGCTTCCAGTCTATTACGAGAAGTTTCAAACTTTCTTATAACCTAGAAATAAACAGAAACACTGAGAATACTTTATTCTGTCCCAACCAATGTCCCAAATACCCCATGTCAGTAAAATTGATCAAACAAAAACATTTCACTTGAATGTATACTACAGAGGATTTAAAACTTACTGGCACATAAAAGCCACAATTATATAACACTAGAACAAAACTGTTAGTGGCATTCTTTTGAGTATGACAATGTTGACCTTTTTAATTTATGAACATTGTTAAGTAATGATAAGTGTCACAACTCTTCACAAACATCAAAAATACATTTAAATTTAGCAAATACATATACCATTACTTGACTAATGTAAATAGTAAGTCTTAAAGGTTGTACGTGCCAGTACCTTTCTCTTTGAGTCCAAAATTGATTCACTGTCAACCAACTCTTCTTGTAATTTATCAATCTCCCTGCAGGAAAGAAACACATCTCACCTGTAGAGTTTTACAAGGATGTTTTGGGCTACAAGTGTTGGCACATTATTTAGAAATTTATATAACCAATAAGCATGTACTTAAACTAGAATTTGGAGAAGAAAAACAATATATTAGATTTCTCTACATCCTTCTACTTCAAAGCAGGTGAGGAATGAATATAGTATATAACACAACTTAAAATCCCACCTTCCACTTTCCCTGCACCCAAGCACAAACAACAACAACAACAATAATAATAATAATAATAAATAATCTTTATAGAGGAAGCTCCCATCATATTAAGTGGTTTTCAGGGAAGTCCTCTGACTAAGATTAAACAATATTAAAACTACTGATTACAATCAAATATAAAATGCTAAAGGTGAAAAAGTTTAAACCCTAAAAAGGCTAAGTGAAAAAATATTACAGTCAGACTAAAAGATTTAACTATCATGAAAATACAAAGGCTAACGACTAAAAGACTAAAATGAAAATGTTACAAACTAAAATATTTGGCTCTTAAGAGCTTTTTCAGTTCCGCTTAAAACTTTTACAAGGCATGGGTTTCCACTCTCACCATCAAGATGGTGGCATTTAAAACTTGACTATCTACCTCCAGTATAAAATGTAATTGACATAAGCTGATCAGACAAATGAGACTCAAATGTTGAGACCAACTTAAGTTCTGTTGAACAGCCTGAACCTACAATCCGTGACAAAATTATTGAGACCTTGTACTCAAATAGGGTAACTTCAGAGAACAAAAGAATCATATCCACACCCCTCCCCTCTACTCTCCAAAATGGGGTGTTTATTGTTTTCTATAGGAAGATAGAACAGCAGCACAACATTGCATGGAGGGGATGGGAGAGTCAGGAAAAACTTTATTTTCCCTTTAAGAAGTCAGTAAAACATCAGAAAGCCCCTTTACGACGAAGTGTTTCAACTAATTTCGTCACCAATTCAGCTCCTAAGCGAGTTCCCTCAGTGGGGAGTAGTTTCTCGGCTTAGAAACAGGTGTGGTGAGGAGAAAGTCACAGGCTATTCGAAGATAACTAGATGTGCCAATTGAGGACTTTTGCAGGCACAATACAAGTACAGTCAACTCCTCCTCCCTTGGGACTTTGGTCAGCATCCAATCACTTGGTAGTTTCTTAATGTTTGGTTCATGTTATTCTGCATTGTTCTGTTATGAGCTTACAATAGCTACTCAATGCTAAGTACATGTACACTGACAGTAAATAATTTTTATACAATTTTAGTCGATACATTAAAAAATATCGAAGCAGAAATACCCTGTAATCCCCCAGCAAATTTTCCTTATCATTTTAAATTTGATCTATGTATGTGTAATATAATTATCTAGAGGTATAATTACTTTCTCTTTTCTATGTTTGTCTTCCTCTGCTCCTCAGCTTTTTTCTGGGTATCAGCCTAAAAAAAACCAAAATATTTCTGTACACTGAAGCCGAGAAAAATGTTGTTAACACTTACATTCATGCATGTGGGCATCTATCATTATGTATTGTTGTTGTTCAATTTTTCTTGCCATTAAAATTTTCATACCAGTCTATTGTTTGTTTTCATTTGTCTCAGATTATGGCAAAATGTATCATAAATAAAAATACGATTAGACTGGTTTGACAAACTTGAAACCATGTACAACAACTTCGACAAAACGTCTCAATAAAGATAGTGGCATTAAGGGTTTTGGAGTCAGGTAAATTTTGGCGGGCTTAGTAAAGGGGGGGCAGCATTTTGACACAGGCTAAATAAGGTCTTTATCTATGGGTGGAAGGACGGGTCTTCTAAGGGATGGCCATGAACTTTATACAAGTCATGTAATCACCATGGCTCACGAAATAAATCGTACATCCAAGTATACATGAAACATGTATACCTGCCAACTTTTTCTGAGATGTGGGCGTGAGATTTTTATCCCGGGAGTGCTGGGATTTTTGAAAACGACACGATCATTTCCGAAGATTCCCGAAGAAGTCCGAAGTCTTCTGAAGACATCCGAAGTCTGCCGAAGGCGAAGTTATCGAGAAAACGCTTATCCACAAAATCAGAGATCGCGAGGAAGGTATTGTCATTTATTCATTTTACACATGGTTTTCGTTTGTTACATGGGTCTGAGTTAACATATTTTTGGAAATTGTGTCCAGCAAGACGACAACAACTCACATTTTTCAATCAGGCGTGAGAAATTGGTCCGCAGGTGTGAGCGGGTGTGAGATCGAAGTTTTCAACCCGCAGGCGTGAGAGTTGGCAGGTATAAACATGGTCCTGACAAATTCTTACCACAGACTGTGTCAGCTTCTCTTTCTCCAGCTGTGCTTCCTCTCGTTCATGAACCAAATCTTCTTTCAGTTGAACAATAGAGTCTTCCAGCTCAATTATCTGTGTTGATGAAATTTGAAGTTCATTCTTTTATCCAATTTTATGAGTCGTCAAAATTAAGGAAGAAAGTCCTACAGTAATTTTTATTGCTGCTGAGTTTGGATGTCCATTCAAGACAATATTATTTTATTTATTTATTCATAGGAAATAAGACGAAAGATCCAGTCATAGCTTGGTGGTATAAAAGTAGGCACCACAAGCTACTTTTCATTTAATTCTCACACAAAAACTGACTTAAAAAAACACAATTTAAAATGATACTTTTTGTTTTTAAATCATGATTATTTTTCAGTCCTGTAATTATCTTACCCGTTTGTACGTCTCTCTGAGTTTGTCACGAGTCTCATTAAGAGTTATTTGCTTGCTGGATAGATAAGAAAAAAGATGAAATAAGGAATAAATATCGAGTAAAAAATCTTTCCCAAGAGTGGATTAGCACCATCCCAAAGTTTCATAAAATATGGGGTGTGATTTGACGCATGAGATAACAAGTTTCCTACTCTTTTTTATCTTTCCAGCTGATTTGGATATACCATGTTGCGGGTATATCATACTTATCCCAATTGTAACTTTAAATTTAATTCATTTGGTAAATGTTCATGGTAAGCACCTATAGTCTTCTTTAATAGGAGGGTACTATATTGCATTGAAAGCTGACAAAGGCTAGAGAGGACATGTATACAGTGTACAGTACAAGAAGTCAGATACAGGAGAAAATGCTTCACAGTGAAGTAAGTAAAAGTGTAGTAATAGAGAATTGTTTGTTAGTACTGGCAGTAATGATGTGTTAGGTGGGTTGATTAAGGGTTTTCATGGAGGATAAGTGAAGTGATTCTTGTAGAAGTGCAAGTGTACTATAAAGAGTAATGAGACAGTATAACAGGTCTTCCCCTCCCCTCCCCCTGTGATATGTGAGTGAACAAAGGTAATGATCAATTAAACTGTGAAACTTGCAACACGTTTGCAGCTACTGTAGAAAACAAGACCCCTTCTAAGCTGATATTAAAATATCAGGCTACAATCTTGGACAAAATAAATGGCAAACCAAGACCTCCCCTCTCCCCCAAATCAAAGATGGGAAATGATTTTTTTTGGGGGGGGAGGGGGTGTGGGGGTGGATGGGGGTTTGCTGTTCCATTTTATTCTGTCCAAGATTGTAAGTCCAGCCTCAAGAAGACATTGGAGCTTAATGTCTGACGGCAAGTTGATAAAACAAGACACTAGCCTTAAAAATCAGACGAAAACTATTAAGAACCTGCATGGGTGACTGTGAATCTTTTTTCTTGCTCAGTGGATTTTGAACATTTTATATTGTAAACCCCCTACCTTGCCTTGTCAGCCATCTTTTGATTGAGAAGCGCAATAATTTCATCATGCCCTGTTTGCATATCATTCCGTTCAGGCCTAAAAAGAAAATTCCGCAACACGGATATATCAAACTGATTTAATACATAAATTTTGTCTGATTTCCACACTAGCACTTTTTATCAAGTTTTGTGATGACACCTGTCCTTTTATTTTCTAACATCTGTTGTCATTTTATAGTTTGGTAACCCTCCCAACCGATCCTCACTTACAGACACTTTTTACAAAGTGCACATGACTAATTAAAGTCAAATTTAGGTTAAACCTTTTTACCTGGATTGATTCTCGATTTAATACCTTTCTCTCCTAGCCCTAACTAAGTTGACCTTCAAATGAAGGCTAAAAGATTTTGACTTGAATTAAATTTAAAAATTACATCTCACTGAAAAGAAGAGTCCCATTGACCTCTCTTTTACAGAGCAAGTTGACCCGGTATTTTTTATTACGACGTACAGTTAGTGGTAACTTACTCCAGTTTCGCATTTTCTTTTGCAAGGTCTTGATGCCTCTCCTCCAAGGACTTAATGTTCTTGATGATTGTGTTCAGTTGTGTCTAAAACACCCCAGCAACAAAAATAATGGTCAACCTATCTTAAAATTCCGAAAATAAGCCCCGGGGCTTTCATTTTCAAAGGCCCTTTTGAGGGGCTTATTTTTGGAGGGGATTATCTACAGAGGGAAACTTGCGTTTCAAAATCGATTGGGCTAGTCTTATTGTTGGAAGTTTTTGCTTTGTTTTACTTTGTATTTTAGGGCAATTTTCCAAGTACAAGCCCCTGGCCATGGGGGCTAATATTTGGAGGGGCGATTTAACTGAGGGTTTTTTGCATTTACCAGTTAGGGGGGCTTATATTTTTGGAGGGGCTTATACATGGAGGAGCTTATTTTTGGAATTTTACAGTAATTTCTCTTTGCTGTGCAATACCAAGTTTGGATTTTGAAGGAATTTTTAGTTCGTAATAATAAAGGGTTTATTCTAGAAATTAGCCAATGAGGGTCAAATGGGCCCCCTTCTGTAATTTTAGGGGGCCCTTTTTCATAATTAAGGGGGTCCAAGAGAGGGTCCCCCCAAAAGGTACTGGTACAGACTGTTCCATGAGAAAACAAACATTTATTGACCCTTTGCCGCCATTTTGGAACATTCTGGGCAACTGAAAAAGCCTGGGCTTGAATTACTGCAGAATCCCGGACATTTGTCTGGTGAAATAATGACTCAAATGAAGGAGAGAAAGGCAACTGAAAGAGTATGAGGCTATAAACGTTCAAAGTAAGTTTATAGAGCAGCCATCAAATCAGTGTTGTTGTCAGTGATGCTTTTGAATTCTTTATTTCAAAAAAAATAGTACTTATCCTTGGGTCTATTTTTTGGTGCACCATTTGACGCACAAACGCAAATCTTATGTGGCATTTTTTTCCAAATTGTGGAAATCCCGCAAGGCCGTGCTCTAGAATAAACCCTGACAATATTTAAACAAGCAGCTAGTTTGGTTCCTACAAGAAAACAACTGGCCTTTTGCAATAATTGGTAACAAGATCGAATTTCCGTAAATGACAAGATTTAAAAAAGCTTAATTTACAAGTCATGTCTCCTGGAAAAATTCAACTTCTATTTTTCATGTACTTACTTTTAATCTCTTGATTTCTGCTTCATTTGATTGTCTTGCTGAGTAAACAGCAGCTAAAGAGTAATCATAATAAAGCCTTTGAGATTTGTGTTTGTGAGAATGTTTATTTTCAGGCAAATACCTCATCAATAATTTTCCCATGTTAGTTCTTTGTTCCCAATCAAGGTTTTCCAGCATTTCAATATCTAAAAAACTATCCTGACCATCTGTGAGAGGCTTAATCTTTGGAACCAATGCTTTAGTAATGACAGAAGTAACTGCCTAATTAAAAACCTTCTAAAAAAGACCTTACTAGCTCCATTTTACTGCAGAAATATATTCTCCTTGATGGTCACACATAAGGCTGCCATAACTCAAGAACATTTTGCTTTTCACTTGGTTCCCAGAATAAGGCATGAATAAGCACTAGAAGGAAATAAAAGTAATTATTATACTATATTATTAATTATTATACTCATCAACAGTGTACCTTGTATTTCACTCTTGATATCACTTGGGAAATACTGTAACTTGTAGCGTAGAACACTTGCTGTGATGGTTTCTGTCTCCAGCAACTCATGCAATTTTAGTCTCTCTGTTTCCTGAAACGATGAAGATTTTTAGCCAAAAAAATGACATCCCAGGCTTCCCCTCACTGGGTCAAAATGAAGGGTTACAATGGCTTTAATTTAGGTTGATTCTCAATTTCCCATCTCTTCTAGCCTGTTCATGAATAATCAGGGTTAAGAAACAAAGGAAATTCAGAATTGATCTAGGTTGAAACCATATTGACTTAAACTTCATTTTGACCTACACCATACTATATTTTTTTAAATATAGACACTTAAACATCCTGCAACTTGGAGAAAGCCACTGTTATCCTTTGTGAAAACTGAGCTCAGACAGTTGTCATAGCCATATTTTCAGCCTTGTTTGTCTGTCAAAGATGCAAGGGTGAGCCCCTCTAAACTGTAGAACTGAAGGTGCTTGCAAGGGTCTTCTTCATTCCGAGTTGTCTCTTACGATTTATATGTTGTTTCAAAAGACAAGCACGGGAAGTCAATAAAGATAATGGGAAGAAAGCTGAAGGCCTCCTCCTTCTAATTCTCCCCCTCCCCCCCACCCCTCCTGCATGCATCCAGCTGGTGCATAGGGTCAGTTTTACAGATGAAGGGCAAGCTGTACCTAGCATGTACTAGCCCAAAAGTCACTCAAGCTAGTTCCCCCACCCACCCTCCCCAAAAAATTTGATGAGCAGGACCAATAATTAATTTATTATTATTAATTTATAAACTTATTTTAACACCATTAGCTATTAATAATCATTTGCTTTATTGTTTATTCATTGTAATAAAACTGTAATAATAATTGTTTTGCTTCATCAGGTTACCTTGAAAAAACAGCCTTAAATTGGCATGAAGTTTGAATTTCTCTTAAGGTCCTTTAATCTACAATTTGAATTCCCCTACAAAAGTTCACTTGTCCCTTGAGCAAATTAAGAAGAGAATTCACTAGAGTAATCCGAACCTCCATTAGTCCTGACCTACCAGCTAGCATGACATTCTTTGCATGTTGGCACCTCCTAGGCACTAATCCCTTGTGTAGAGATAAGGGAGAGACAACTGAGGACAAGTCAGCCCAGAGATGTTCAGGAATTTTAGGTATAGTTTCACCGGAGTACTTTAGTTCCCGCATCCCTGCCCCTTCAACCTAGTTGTGCATGAAACTTCTATCCACTTTGACAGGTCTAGAATGGTATTATTTTTTCTACAGAATGTGGAAGTGAGAACAATTAAAAAAGAAACAAGCCAAATTCTTAGGATCCATCTGGAGAAGATGGCATCAACAAAAAATACCATAATCCAGTCTAGTACCCAGGGGGGGTTACTGCCATATATGGGCTATATAGGTATGTGCCACTGTGAAGGGTATGGTTTTCAAGCAGTTTACTCTAGGATAGGGTATATAAATCAGAGCGTTTGGGTCTAGAATAGGGTATCATTTTTCGGGAAACTGATCAGTTGGATAGGGGGATTTGGGGAGTTCAATCTAGTATAGGGTAGCAAAATTCAGCTGAACTTGCTCTGGTATAGGTTAAGGGTTTCAGGGTCCCAGCGGCACATCCCCACCCAGAAATTCCTAAAGTACCCCCGGGTCTCGTACTGCTCTGTCACAAGGGAACAACCTGACCCACAGCCTACAAGGAATCTCTCACGACTCGAGGGTAACGTGAAACTAGCTACAGAGCCTGCATGTTCACCATCTACTTTCAACGTACAACTTAACAGCATGACTGCTTTACTCCATGCAGTTAACCAAAAGAGATCCTTTTGCCTAAATTTGCTTAACACTTCCCGATCCCCTCTATTTAGTGTTGAGATATAACAGAACAACGGGGCCAGGGAAAGAAGAAGAGAAAGAAGTAGAAAGTAGTAGCCTCCCCAACACCCTTAGCTTCAGGACAAGCTATGATTGTAGTTCTACCTATAATTCGACAACACTTTAAAGTTTACCAAGTCTTTGAGGGCTTTAATGACAATATCCAAGCCAGAGGTATCCACTGGTTCAACACTCTGTTTGCTTGTCTTGACATTATGCCCTAGGAACATAAATATTTACATCAATCACAAAAAATTAATAGAACTAGAAGACAAATTAAGTTATAAATGTAGAAGAGCTGGACAATTAATTTTGGATCTATAGCAGCAATCATTCATTCCATACCAAGTTCCTGCAGTTTCTCGACTGCACTGTTAACCAAAGGTGTTATATCTGTCGACTGAGATCGCCTTTTCAACATTTTGCAGTGACATCGAAGATCAAAAGTACGTGAAAGGAGCAAACCTTCTTCTCCACAGACAACTTTGCTTTCGGCGTTACTAAGCGGGAGAATAGTAACTAGTCAGATATACCTAGGGGAGGGGAGGGAGGGTAAAACTAGTAAGGGACTCCCTACAACTTAAGTTCCAACAATAACTTTTATTCTCTTTTTTAAATTGAAAAATTCAGGGTTTGGAAATGGTGAAAATTGGTTAATTAATTGACTTAACAGGACCTTTTCCAAAACTCTGAAAAGTTATTTAAAACCTTCACCTCTCCTCCCTTGAAAGAAGCTGTTGGCTCCACCATAAAGAGGCAGTTGCCAAGAGCAAAAGCTAAACGGAAGATGTCTGCCAGCGAGAGAGAATTTATATTTGATGCCGTTATCGGCTATTTAACCTCCCCGATATGGAATTTTCCGGTTCGCACTTTTATAGAACATAATTCTTTAGGTATGCTGCAGTTTCCCCATTCATTTTGGGAATTTTATTCCCTGGGTTTTTGTTGATATTGTTGATTGTAAATTTGGCGAAATGCAGTCATTTTGTATTCTTTGAATCCATTTATTATGATTTCTTCTTTGAATGCTTTGACAGTTTTTGATCCAGATGGAGAAAATCATGAGGAATATAAAAAAATACACAAATCATACAAGGACATGGTAAGAAAACTTTATTTTTTTTCTCCTACTGTTTGCTCAAGATTTGCTATTTGGAAATAATCTCGAGACTTCAAATATTTTAAGCTTTTTTAAGTGTTTGTCGCTTGTATTTAATTTGTGGAGTCGTTTTGCAGATGTTACAAAACAGAATTCTGTAAATTGCTCCCAGTTAATTTTTCATGATTTTGAAATGATATAAAAGAGATACTGGTGGGACACTCACTCCAGGATTCCAAACATGAATGATTAAAAAACTGATATGTATCTTATTAGTTTCCGCCCATGAATAAATTCATGTTTTTTATTTATTTTTTTTTTTTGTATTAAACTTTCAGTAGGCAGATTTTCATTGCACTTTGAAGGAGAAGTTTAAATTAATTAAATTCAAAATATGAAATGTACTAGCTATATATCTAAAATCCCAAAATCCCTAATGAGCCAGTAATTTTCTTTGATGATGGCAAGAGAAAATGATAAAAGAGAGCAAAACACCCATACATGGCTATCTTCCTGTAAAAAAAATTTGTAAATATATTCTTGGTTCTGCGCAATGTTTCAAGGATATTTTTAGGATGGCTCCATATTGTTTGGTTGGAATGGCGCATGTAATTTTACACCAAATATTGGGGAACTTTTGCCTTCCGGGGTTTGAGCGCATCTCTCTCTTTCTCCCCTGCTTTGTTTACAATACATGATTTGGGTGGGTTCCCCCACCCTCCGCACCCACACACTCACACAGAGCTGTGCTCTAAGAAACAATGTAGGGAGCCCATTGCTCTGAATCTGTTAAATTTAGGGTGCCCAGTCTGTGAGGAGGAAGGGTGGCGGAGTTGTCAGAGTGCTGGAGTTATAATCTGGAGGCTCTGTGTTCAATACCTTCCCTAACTACTAGCTGGATTTGTTCTCAGTAGACAGGAGTTCAACTCCTCAGTCACCATTGTAAATTAGGCAACTGGCATACCACCAGCCAGTTGGGTTTCTTAACTTTGGGGCCCACAATAAAAACTTCTCAGTCGTTTACAAGTAATTGTGTACCCCCATCAAGTCTTTTTTTTTTTTAATTTCTGATGTAAAAAAAACTGAAGACTTCCTTGTTGGGCAAGAGTAAAATTTAAGGAGCCTGGGATTGCTGGGTTCTGCTTGTTTCTACCCCACCTCCCCTGCCCCTCCAAAAGAAAATTCATTGCTTATGGACATTTAATTATATGCTGTAATAATCTCCTCTCATTAGTAGTTCTAACCTCTTCCTATAGTACACATTATGGTAAAATGTGGTGTTGATCAGTCACCTGATTATACAGGAGTACGTGATATCTCAATGGAATGATGTCAACCCAAATATTTTTTTGGAAGTAGGTGTTTCTTGGAGCAAAAAATATATAAAATGCTACCAAAAGCAACAAAATGGTTAATGACTTAGCACAATATTTTTTTAGGTCAAGTATAAAAAATTGTCTTGTCTTAACAAAATAATGTATTTCCATGTGAATAAAGGGAAATATATTTTATATTGGGACTTTTGGATCATGTTAGGGAAAAAGAATAATTATATATTATTAGTTCCATTTATAAAGAGGTTGACAAAAAGGGATTCAATTAACATTCTCATACCTAGGCTGGAGGAGGAAAATCAGTTTTACCTTGATGTATATCAACAGGTTTACAATACTGAGGGTTCTGCTGGGTGACAAAAACTTCCATGTGACTAGATTGCCTTGAGTTAGAGGAGAAACCGTGCTGGGCTACAGGGTTGTCAATAAGTTTTTTTTAAGTATGTGGCAAAGGCTTTGGAGTAGGTGGGGAAGGAAAAAAACACATGGCAAAGGTGCAACTTGCGAGTGCAGAAGGTGAAAAATTTTAAAATCTGTGCCTCTTAGAATGCATTTCCAGCATTTCTGGGGCAAAAATTAGACTGTTTGAACATAACACAGATATCATTAAATTTTGGCCTTTTTATTCAATGACAGCACATGAATACTCTGGGGTAATTTCCAAAGAAAAGTAGGTGGCGAGTTCATGTGAAATAGCCGGCAAATTTTGGGGGGCTAACATGTTTTAATGGTAACAAGTTGTCGAATGGGTAAGTAGCATTTACTGGAATGAAAGAGAGGGTTATCAGGTCTGCATGGCTGGTCCAAAAGTTTCAGCAACAGCTTACCGGAAAGCGAGAGTGTCTTTTAAATATTCATCTTGCCCTCAGCTATGGCAAACATTCAATTCGTTACTTTGGACCTGTACTATGGAAAAGACTAGTTACATAACATGGTCAAGCAATCACCTAGTCTTCAGTCTTTTAAGAACGTTATCAGAAATTTAGATATTTCTGGTATTTTAGAAAATAACTTTGGCTGTTATTTGTTGTGACCTTTGTAGATCCCGATTTTATGATTTTAAGATTTTTAAGATTTTAATACATATTATTATGAATTATTATGTATTTTAGATTAGTGTGCCCAATTAGCTATGTTATATTTTGTATAGCTAAATTATACGTTTGACACTTAGATATTAAAAGTTCTTACGGTACGTTATGTTATATGTCCTGCTCCAGAAATTGGGTTTCCACTGTAAAAATGACATAATTCTGTTAAACACTTGCCTAAATGAGGACTGCCTTAACATTCAACTTATTGTTTTGTTGTTTAAGGTGGATAAGTTATTGGCAAGCTTTTTGAAAGATGTTGGAATAACTGCGGAACAGTTTATGAATGCATGTAAAGAAGGAAGTGGAAGTCCACAGTTCAGTAGAATGCATAGGGTAGGTTCATTCATCCAGAATTCCTGGAGAAATCCTGCAGGAATAACTTCTAAAGAACTAAAAAACAGGTCATGAATGTATGCAAAGAAGGAGGTTTAGTGGAAAGAGTTGCTTCTACACTTAATCAGGATTTGTACTATTCCTGGAACTTTTTGGTGAACTCCTGGAATATAAACATTTGTACCACTCATGTATTCAGAAAACATTCATGTAGGCATTCATGTGGTTTTGTTCAATCAGGGTTGTCAAAAGTAGCTGGCTGCCAGCAAAAATCGCTGTCTACTTGGTTAGTATTGGCCGGCTACTCTGCTTGGCATTTCTTTATGGATGCGTTTTTTGAATAAGATATCCCTGGACTGGCCGCTTACTTTGACAACTCAGTAGTCTACTTCAAAACTTTCTCACAACACTGTTTCAATTAACATTTCTTCTTTCTTTTGACATGTATAAAGGATGTCTTTGACCAGCTGTGGGCTGCAGAGGATTATGAGGTGTTTAAACAATTAATGATTCAGAAGAATATTGAGCTGCAGCTACAAGCCTTGCAGATTATTCAACACATTCACAATGTCCCAATGCCTATGCCAGTGCCTGGACCTGTCCCCACCCCACCTAGTGCAGCTTCAACCCCTGGTTCCCCCCCTGCTTCTATCATTGATGAGGATGCTATAATGCAGGAGGTATTGAGAAGGTCTAAGGAAGAGTATGAATCACAGAAGAGTGGTAAAGGAAAAGCAGAACAGGAATTTGAGAAAACATTAGCAGAGTCCAAAGAGGAAAGTGAGAGGTAATGGTTAGAGTAAGTTGTCATAGCCTGTGAATGTTAATACAGGAAGTATACAGCCGTCTTTCCTCACTCTCTGCCTAAAACGTCTTTTACTTTAGCAGGAAGGAGCGAGGAGATACGGCTGAATTTGGCAAACTAGATTTTTAACTTTATAAGATAACCAGCAAGGTAAGTTTCGCAGAACAAAACTAAGTATGTTTAACACTGAAAGCATTTTGAGGACGGTTACAGCAGAGATTCAATCCCTGTCAACTAAAAAACGGAGGTCTTAGGAGCGACATAGCAGCTCCCACAAGTGCTGAATGTGTGAGCCTCTAGGGGAACCGGCAGCATGCTCTCCAGGGAAAAATTTGAAGATATGTGCCTTCAAGATGCCATTTCCTGCTTTTTGAGATCACAGTCAACGGAAATACTGCACCCAAAATTATTTCAGGCTCATGATCAGATGACAAAAGGGTAAAAATGGCTGAGAAACCAGTGGCAGAAAAGCAGCAAAGCGTGCTAAAAAGACTCGTTAAGCAGAGAAATGGAAGAGTTTCCAAAACGCGAATAATGTTAAGCAAAAACAGGAGGTTTGCAGCCAAATGGGAGGGTTGGAATCTCTGCAATAGGTTAACAGATTATGTTGGCCCTTGTTGAAGACAGGACTGCCATTTCTACACGGTCTTCCCTGAAGCTCTAGCCATTTACAGTGCGAACAAAGCCAGTATATGTATAAGCATCTTCATCTGAGTTCTTTGACCTCCCACTCTGCAGTCCAGTCCAGTCCAGTCTTTACCAAATGACTTATCCCTGCTGTAGGTTCACAGTACACAATCCAACCATCCCTACTGTACTCTAAATACACATATGCTGATGATTATTCAACAATGATAACTGTCCGGACTTGAATATATTTCAACATTTCTCCTCGGAAGAACCACATAAGCTTGTCATTATAATGCTGTTGTTCTAATCGTAACCTGCTCTAGCCAACCTCCGCTGGCCACCCAAAGACCAGAAAGTGTTGTCACAGACAATGGTGAATGTTCCAGGTGATACGACTCTCTTCCTCAGTTAGTCTCTTCTATCTATTTATTCTTTTCCTACCTCTTGTTTGTTATTGAAATAGGCATTCTGTTTGTCAGCATCTGTTTGTGGTCAGCAGCAAGCATTTTTCTTTCTTTCCCATCCCTCTCACCTCGCCTATTCCTTTGCTCCCCCTTTCGCGTCCCAATGCTTTTCTCACTTGACTAACATATGCTGATGAACAGTAAAATAAATGGTCAACAGTAACAACCGTCCGGACTAAAATATATTTCAACATATCTTCTCTCAACAACCAAATAATTTTGTTTCTTAACCTGCTTTCCTAGCCAACCTCCGTCCTCCCAAAGACTGGAAAGTGTAGTCACAGATAGTGAACATTCCAGGTGATAAGACTCTGTTCTTCAACTAATCTCTTGAATCTATTGATTTCTCTCTTGGTCAGCAGCAGGCGTTTTCTTTCTTCCTCCACCTCTCCCACCCCGGCTATGCTATTACCCACCTCTTGCGTCCTCACACTTCTCCCGCTTCACTAGAACAAAACGAAAATGACTATTACACAGGCTGCTGACAGACTTTTTTCATTAATTCATTTTTATTAGTAAAAATTCCGTGACTTTGTCAGTGCGCTTAACCACACAAAAATGTTCATCATTAATGATTGCTATTTCTTATTGTTTCACGTCACATCTCGCTCTTAATTCCTTCAGAAAATCTTTAAACTTTTCAGTCCCGGAGAAGGTGATCACCGAAGAAAGTACGAGGTGCTCAGTGGTCTTTCATCATTCTTTCTATTTACTTGATGTGATTGTTCATTATGAGAACAAGGGTAGTAAAGAAGTACTCTTGCTGTCATGGTACTCTGTTCTTTCTTAAGTCATATGTCACTTTGTTGTCTTGGGCAAGATTAGATATGTTTTCTATCGCTTGCCCCTCTACTATCTTCAATTCTTTCAAACCTTTACCTTGAAGAACAGTAAGAAGACCTTGCCTACCCTCAACAATAATAGTAAAGAAGTTGAAGTTGAAGTTGAACAATCTTTCCGCTACGTCAGACATATTCAATATTATTCATGAGCCAGGTGTTAGGGGTGTTAGGGGTGTTAGGGACGCATTCCATGAATTACTTTGCATCTTTGGGGATTTTTATGCGTCAAGGATGCAGAAAGTAGAGGTAACAAAATCCCTGCTCATGCACTTTCCCCACTCAGATTAGATTACGAGTATTCCCTTATTTCCCTCTGGGGTAGTATAGCGAGCGAAACACGTGAGCGCGCGTGAAAATCGCCACCCGCGAGCAAGGCGACCTTCGGAGGGAAGGGAGAAAACTTTCCTTCCAGTTCTTCTCGCGCGTGGCGATTTTTACGCGCTCGCGTATTTCGCTCGCTCAACCATCCCTGAAGAAATGAGGGACTGTTTGCAGTCTACATTCAGACGTTCAGGTAGGTCTTGGCTCATTATTACGCTGTACCGTGTGAACTTAGGATAGTGTTGCATACCATACAGAAAGGAAGACACAGCTTTGAGTAAGTGAAAGAGTTGCAGTTCAATTAAATGTGGTCTGTATGTGGGCATGTGGCCTTTTCTTATTTTTTCTTCCTTTTTAGGCTAAGGGAAATAGCAAAAAAAGAACATGAAGAATTAGAAAAGCTCTTCAAATTTCACTAGAAGCGCAGAAACAGCAAGCAGCTGAAGCCGAAAAATTACGTGATGAAGTTAAGCAGTCGACTGTCCAACCTTCTGCTAAACCTCCTGTTGTCGAAAGCAAACAAGCAGCCAAGACCTCCCCTGTGGAGAGTAAACCAGTCCCGAAGCCTTCCCCTTCAAGCACAAAATCTCCTGCACAGGACACCAAACGTTTGGAAAAACCCCAGACTACAGGGTTACCACCTTTGTCAGGGAAACCGAAGAAAGCAGCAGATACACCGGCTGATGCAGCTGCAGGATGGCTGCAAAGTGCTAAGGAGGATGCTGCTAGTAGCACAGCCACGCCAGTTCAGGTAGAATGACGATTATTAAGACAAGTAGCTGTTGACTGTATTGTTGAAGTGCAGTTTTATTGAAGAAAAGGTCTTGGCGAACCCATCTACTGTTCTACTTTTTCTTCTTCGCATCCATTAATGACATGCTTTCACGATTTTTCCCGCGCTTTTGGCCGTCTATATTTGTGATTGGTTGATTGGATTTTCTCGCTCTTGCCGTCGGCTGCATTTATTTGCTTTGAGTTGTGATTGGTTGATTGCATTTTCCCTGCGCTGTTTGTAGGCTACGTTTGTTTGCTTTGAGTTGTGATTGGTGAATTGGATTTTCTAGGTTTGACTATGAAGACTATGAAGTTGGTCATCTCTTTCTGAGAAAACTCTTACAACCCATCTATTGTTGTCTAAAATTTTTGTTCTTTGATGTTTCCTCGTAGAAGCAAGAAATAACTCCTGAAGAGATGAAAAGACGCTCTGAGTACCTAAAGCAGCAACGAGACAAACTCCTTGCATTAAAAAGACAGGAACGCGAGAAAAGCTTGACGAAGTATACCGAACAGGAGTCGAAGGCTCGGCCGACGTCCGCTCATACAGCTCGTCGAGTCACCGCTGGCGAGCAAGTTGATTCTCCGCCGTCAAAGAGCAGCCAGGAGGATGCGAACAAGTTAGCCATGCGCAGAGCTCTTGCGGACTGTTTGAAACGGGAGGTCATTGACAAGGAGTAAATTGCACTAAATAGAAAAGAAACTTTGTTCCAGTTTCTGCTTGTTATGTAAAGTCATTTTAAGATAATTCAGTAACACGAAAAGTGACTTAAGAGACAGTCGAAAAGCGCAACAATGCAATTGAAACCCGACGTTAGCTCATGACCTTGTAGTCATTCACAAATTTGGTATTATAGCACGTTTTCTAAAGATTTAAGGATATGTTGTAAGAAATGTGAAAGTTGGCGTAAAAGAAAAACGGACCGGCTTGCCTTGCCCCTTTGCAGCGTTTTCCGTGACATATCGACATATCCGAGCTTTGCCCTCAACGAATAATCTGCGACCAGCTGTTTCAAGTTTCAAGTGTACGATGCAGCCTCGTAATCGTTTCGTTTTCTTTTAGTTGTAGTTAATGTAATTTTATAAATGTAAACAAGTTTATAGTTCGCGTAGGTACGTTCTTTGAGACTGAGATCCGGCCAGCATCCTTAAATGTAACAGAAATGCAACCAGTAAGAAACCAATTTCACTCTTAGAGGAAGAATTTAGTACTTTTATAAATGCTTGCGCCTTGAAAGGTCGATGAACATTAGACCGCAAAAAGGGATTTTCGCCTGCCCTTTCGTGTCCTATGATTCATCTCTATTTCAAGTTTTGATGCTTGTGTATGAGCGAGGGTGTTCAGTTAGTGCACTACCTCTAAATCGTTTTTCGTTTTGGCTTTAGAGGAAATATGCACTTACGCTTAGTAGAAATTATATAAAATGGTTATAAAACTGCAGGCAGTTTAAAATGAGAAGTTACTTTAGCTAAAGTTAATTTTTTTCCGACCAGGTGGTCATTTAATCTTTCTTCCTGATTAAAAGTTAGTTCTTGAAAAGAGTGATCATAATCGGAAATGATTAGTGCAAAGTCAGGTCATTGTCTCATTACACTCTTGACAGAAAATGTAGTTTTAATTAATGTCTATCTTCGCAGTGTCCTTAGCTTGAAGAACATGCATTATTTTCTCGTGTTTTTCAGGCGAGCGAGGAGGATACGAGACACGCGTGTCGGGGGAAGGCGCGAAACATATACCTCCCCCGATTCGCCCCTCGCTCGCTTTGCGTTTGCCTTTGCACTCCTGAAAACGAAAAATAACACTTTTCAATTTTTTCATTTTGAAGGAAACTTTTGTAGTAACAAGTATCACTTAACTTTATTTCCAAGACATCTACCTCTTATGACCCTTGTCATTATGGGTGAGGTTTAACATGCACGCCATAAGTGTTGTCACAACTCGGATTGGTTTGACTAATCAATTAAAATTAAATAGTTTTGAGTTTTCTGTCTTTTTCAGATTGCAAATGCTTTGTCGAAAATCATTGTGGAAAACTCTTTCTTCGTTTTGTCGTTACATGCTTGAATAATTTAAGTTTAATTCATCGTCCCATTACATGCTGCCATCTAGTTGTCTCTCTAGAAATAAAGAATCATTGCAATTCAATGTACTGGCTCTTTTATGCAGGTCGTACCGCAAAATGGAAGGTAAAAAAAGGGCGAGAAGTTGATGATTGAAGGAAAGTGTATAACCTAAGAAAACAGCCAACATTTCGCGACGCCACTGATGTCCCCGATTTCCTACGCGGCACGACCAATTAGACTGGGTAGTAACGCGTCATCAGTATGGAATTTTGCACTCCCTGAAAATGCCGGCTATGCAAAGTCATGTATTCACATGACGTCACGGCGGCCGTATTGGTGTCCCAAAACAATGAAACCAATCCTGTGGGAGTTGAACTCTTTTCTTATGCAAATGCTTTCTTTTGTTCCAATAATTTGCATAGATGCTAGCCACGCGAGTGAAAACGCTCTATAGAATGCCTTGAGGATATGTAAATTATGAATAGGACCCACCCTTTGCACTCTACTCTAGGGCACCGTTTAGATTAGTTCTAGCGACCCGCCCTCCCACCCCACGAGGAATCCGGTTTTTTGGAATGCATCATCCAAACTCTTCGTCCGGTTTGGGCTTCAGTCCCAAGCCAGAGTGATTCCCCATACCCAGGAGCCCTACCCATTATGGCTCTTGCCATAGCTTATTTACATTTCATGAATAACAATTCCCTGGGCAGAATACTATTCTGTTTTCTTAGGCTAAAATTTGTATTGAAACATGTTATTCAAGGGGGTGGGGTATGGAAAGGAAATCGAGTATCCTCATAAAGAGCACCAGAAAGCGGACCGGACGCAGATCTTACCCTGCGTAGCAACACTTGAAAGTAATAAAAGACGAGGCGCGAGAGGGAGACACGCGTTCTTCCTCGTGCGCCGGTCTTTCCTTCCGTCCATGTTACTTTTAAGCACCCACTTTTGAGGTCTTCGATGATGTTCTAATTAGAGGGAATGTGGAGTGGAGGAAGTCATGAATATCTTTCTCGCTCTCATGTGTAAGGAAATATGCCAAAAAAGTTTATTTTTTGTTACTCACCTGGCCTCGATTCACGGCGACGATTTTCCAATGTCTCTGTTGATGTGAAACTGAAAATGATCGAAAATGACGTCATTAGCCCGTTTCAGCATCTGCTCTCCGATCTAATAGAAAAATGTTTGGAATATATCCCACTTATAATTGAGAGGGCAGAATAATGGAACGGATGTTCCCGATTGTTCTGTGAAGCAAGGAGCCTAGGTTCCTGACGATGCCATGGATTTCCGAATAAAGGTAATCAAACGAATCCCGGAAATAATTAATGACTCAATCACAGTCTCCAGGCCTTTATATCTTATTGATATTCCGTGACCCTTGCGTTGTTGTTGCTCAGGGCTCCCATTGGGCAGCTTTTTTGTCTGAAGGGGGCTACCCTGAGCGGTATAAATTAATAAAGGCACTGCCGTCAATCATTGCCCTCGTGATATGCTGGCCCCTCTGTTGGGTATTTGCCCGGGGGGTACTCAATTAAGTTTTATACGGGGAGGCTCCGTCCCAAGCTCAACCTCTTACCCTTTTATATACCATTTTTCACAGAAAAGGCATCCTTTTAATTTCGTATGCCTTCTCCATTTCACATATCTAGTTTAGAACTTTACATCCATTTTAAATGCTGTAACTGCACTGTCTTTTAAATATAACACAAAACCAGAAAGTTTTCTAGATTTTTTTTCATTGTCATAAAATACATCTTTTATCCCTTTTGGTACTTTTCACAGATCGAAAAGACAGGTCTCCCCACCCTTTCATAGCTCAACCAATGAAATCCCTACTCTTTTATATACCTGACGCTTGAAAAAAGGGGCATTTTTTGGGCTCTGCTGTTTCTGCTCGCATGGATGATTTTGTAAAAAAGTCCCATTGGAAATTCGTGACGATCGGAGTCAACGAGTATTTTTATCACAAATGACGTCATGTGCCGTACGTTATGACGTCATCAGGAGCTGATTCTCCTGACGTCATCTATCTTCCTTTCTCTATCAGTTTTGATCAGTTGTAAATACGTGGGGGTGGTAAGGCAAGCGTAAGCATGAACTTAAGAACACACAATGTAGATTATGCGTTTCTGAGGTATCGACAAAAACATAACAATATATCAAAACTTTGCTTTATGGCATTTTTTTTAAAAAAAAAAGCTGCATGCACCAGGCCCCTGCTTTTTTGTATTTGAGCTTATTTGGTTTCATGTTAAAAAGAAGAAAAAAGCTTAAAAGGTTAAATAAAAACCGAAACACTGAACGCTAGGGATTTGTAAAGCATAATTTGTGAAAAGAAACAGCATTTTTGTTATTTTTGAATTGAAACTTAAAAAATTCAATTTTACGCGGGAAATATCGAAAATGGCGCCGTGCACTCAAACTCTGGGACCCCCTTCACTATTTTGTGGTCGCCCCCTAATGTTTTGATGGTCCTTGCAGAAAGTAGAGCAATACAGCATGGCGGACACATTTGAAGGTGGACATTGACAGTAATTTTCTCATGGTGGACGATGCGGGAGCCGTTCATTGCGTTAAAATATTAGTGGGCCAGGATTATGGCGAGCACTAGGCGCCGTGTTAAATTATATACATTAAACGAAGACCGGCAGTGGGATGACCGTGGTACGGGGCACGTGTCTTCGTCGTACGTTGAACGTTTACAGGGAATGTCGATCATGGTTCGATCCGAAGAAGACGGTTTGTGGAGATTGTTCTGTCCGCTGCTATTACTTGTTTTATTTTATTATGGCTATTTTTTCGAGAAAACCCGAAAACCTGTTGTATATTGACCCCGGTTGCTTCGTTTACAGGTTCAATTCTGCTCGAGTCAAAAATACAGCCGCACACTGCCTATCAGAAACAACAGGTACATTTCGTCATTTGTAGTATTTTTGAAATTATGCTGGTTTCTCGTAAAGGTTCTGTTATAATGATAATTGCATTTTTTTTCACGATAGGAGACTCTAATTGTGTGGTCAGAGGGCGACAACTACGATCTAGCACTTAGTTTTCAAGAGAAAGCGGGCTGCGATGAGATTTGGGAAAAAATTTGTCAGGTAGGCTCATTCTTCGATAGCGTGAATACGTTTTCATTTGTAAAAGCTTAGGTTATGAGATGAGTTCCTTGTATAACAGTAATGGAACGTTACTTAAAAGTGAAAGGTGCATTTGTTTGGTATTTAACAAATCTATCGCCTACCCACAAACTCTTACGAAATCATTAAATGTCACTTCTGTCAGTGAAAATCAAGTCTCTTGAACATCGATTTTTTTCTCCTCTACATAGTAGCGTGCTAAATTAATTCTCTTTGGCAGATTCAAGGAAAAGATCCATCTGTTACCATTACGCAAGATATCCCCGAAGACGATGAGTCGGAAGAAAGATTTGAGGAAGTTATGGATTCAACAGGCCCAATTGAATTACCCGCTTGCGAACTTAGTAAACTCGACGAAATCGCCGAGTTATTTAACAGTGTTCTACCCTCACCGATTCGTCGAGAAAAGTTAGCACTGGCTATCGAACAAGACAATTACATCAGGAAACTGCTGGATTTGTTTCACATCTGTGAAGATTTAGAAAACTTAGAAGGACTTCACCATTTGTATGATATTTTTAAGTCATTGTTTTTTATGAACAAGCCTTCGTTGCTCGAGATTATGTTGGCTGATGATTTAGTCTTCGATGTAGTTGGCTGTCTGGAGTACGACCCTGGCAAATCGGCCCCACAACGGCATAGATTATTTTTAAAGGAGAGCGCGAACTTCAAAGAGATCATTCCTATAACGAACTCGGATATTATAAACAAGATTCATCAAACGTATCGTGTACAGTACATCGCCGACGTAATTCTTCCTCCTCCTTCGGTTTTTGATGACAATATGCTGGCTTCAGTGCATTCGTTTATACTTTTTAATAGGATAGAAATTGCCACACATCTGCAGGTGGGTCAACTTTTATATTTTCAAAAGAATTGCCAGAGTAAGTAAAAATTGTTGTTGTTAAGGAAGAATCAAACGACGTTCTTTACGTTTCTATTTGAAATCTGAGCTTCACCAACCATTGTCAAAAATCATAGTTTTCACATTTCCGCCGGCTGACAGTAAGAAAATTAAAATTGATAAAATATATCAGTGCTTTTCCTGTACATAAACCAGGAGGATTTTTCTTAAGATCTGTTTAAATTTTGACAGAACTTTCAGTCAATCCTGAAAGTTTCTTCAGCCTATTATTAGAATTTTCTCTCAGAATATCAAATTACAAATCTTTGTATTTTGTTACAGAAATTGTGGTCAGTTGGGTTTGAGTTTAATACGTTTGTGATCACGATTTCATACATTGGTGCTATAAGTTTATGCTACTTCCCAGGGTCATCATGTTGTGTGTTGACCTAAACTTTTAGACCCCTTAAAACTACCCTTGATCACATGCACAGGTGTTTCAGAAATGGCTATTGACATTTCTTTTGTTTTTAAAGCAAAAAATATTGTTTATCTTGACATTTCTTACAATCATGTAGTCGCTGCACTGTATGACTAATGTGCATCTCAGCAAAATCAATGAAACAGTCTTTTCCTCGAAAGATAGTTGGACCAGTTGTAATTCAATCCAGTTTTAGAGTTAAAATGAAATCTGAAAATTTCTCCTATTCTGTTTTGGTGAAACATACTCTTCGGTGCATTCACAAATATGGTTGGCTTGTTTTGAAAGTTGTAAGTAACACTGCCTCAAAACAAAAGTTGTTGGAGTTTTTAGTATTTATTGTACTGTACTTGTGGGAAGTCCGATACTAATGTGATGTTAGTCTCAACTCTATTTTTTTTAATTATTTGCACGAGGCTTTGTTTAACAGGATATGATCATTGTTCATTGTACTTCAATTTACTACCCTGTGTCCCTGAGAACTTACCAAAAAAATTGTACCAATAACAAAGGGTTGTTGCAAAAGCTTTCTAACTTTGTGGACTGCCAGTGAAAGTTGCATTTTCCACAGTTACCATGTTGGCAAATCTGAAAATCACCAATAAAGTCTTCTCTCTTTATCCTTGAAACACTTTCACTCTCAACTTTTATGACTATTTCCTTTTTTTGTTTTGCTTCAATGCTCGAGGATTTAACATTTTTATAGACATCTGAAGTTAGGGTGCCAGGATGGCTGTTGATAAAAGGTCTTAAATAGTTAATGCCATCCTTGTAGACCAGGTCCAGCTGTCTGCATTATATACAGCTGTTTTGAGAAAGGTTGTCGGAAGAAATGCGCACCCGACAATCCCAAAAGGTAATATGGGATATGATCAATACACTGTTCGTAACGACTGAACCTGTCAAACCTACTTTTGTTGCTCTCCTTTAGTACTCGCGCACATATGTCCGGGGCCTCCCTTACCATTCTTTCAAATTTCTTTGAAGAACAGTGCCCTCAAAGACATGTTTCAGCTTATTTTTAAAAGAGAGCAAATAGCATGCCGTAGCCCCTTAAATGGATGTGCATGAATGTTCCATGAAATTTAAAACACAAATTGCAGCTGAGTGTTCAGCATTTTATTGGGAATTGTGATTACGTATCTTTTTTATACTGGTTCTTATTTGGGTATGTAGTGTTTACTCATAGAAATTCAACTGGCTTTTAATTTTTTTCTTAACAGGATGATGAAAAGTTTTTAGCAGACATGTTTTTGCAACTCGCTGATGAAGACACGTTGGAAGAGAAAAAGAAACAACTGGTACAATATTATTAGAATGTGACCTCACATGGGAAAATGTACACTAACAGCTATCCATTAAAACGGCATAAAGCGTTAGATCTCCATTTGTTATCCGATAAAATGTTTTATCAAACCGTTAATCTGTTAGACAAACCATTTTCGTTTTAACCCATTCTGTTAAAATGGTAGTCGCCAACGGTTAGATTGATATAGCAAGCTGTTTTAATGGCAAACACTATCCGTTTACAGTTAAACCTCTTTATACGGACTCCAAAGGGACAGAACCAATTGTCCACCTTACAGAGGTGTCCATATTATAGAGCTCTGGCAGGGAATGTATGATTTTTGGCATTTCTGGGATCTAACGAACTGTCCATAATAGAGAGTTGTCCGTAAGGAGAGGTTAGACTGTAGTTGATTCCAGAAAGCATTAAAAACGGCAGTCTCCAAAATGGCAAAAAAATCACAAGCTGTTTAAACGGCTATCACTAACATCAGTTCAAACTGTGCGTTGATCTTAGAGAGTTGCAAACTCGCAGTGTCCATCTATGCCTATATGTATCCGATGGTGTCCGCCATGGCGTCATACAGTAGTTTGCTATCACGGCACATTTTTTGTTTCTAGGCAACATTCGACTGAAAGCGATTTCCCATCAAGTCAGTGACCAGAGTGCTTGGTCTTTTTGCAGTTGTTTTAAGAGTCGCTGAGTGCTTTTTGCAATGAATTTCAAATGCAAAAGCACTTTTAAGAGCAAATGGAAGTGATTTTGGATAATTAGCCTTAAGATATGAGCGAAAATCAAGGTTGTAGACGAGTTTGTACTGTATCAGCTTAGTTGGGTGTCTGTTCTTTAATGCGATGAAATGCATTGGCGTTAGGTTTCCATTGTCAAAACAGCAGTCATTCTTCTGAAAAGTATCTCTGAATTCATGTTTAATGGGGCTCAATCAACTTTATACAGGGCACACTGGCAGAAGTTCTAAGGAAAAGGCTTTTAATAAAGTATTATGAACATCTTGGCAATGTGTTTCATGTGGCGTAGTAGTAATGAAACAGCCTGGCGTGCAGAAGGTCGGGAGTTCGATTCCGGGCAGAACTTGTTTTCCTCTTCTCTTCTCTTCTTCTTTTTTGTCCTTTTCCTTTACATTTAGTCATCTCTTTAGTTATTGTAATTTTGTTTTGTTTCTTTATATACGTTAAGTTTTTTAAATTTATAAATTTTCTTTCTTGTTGCCTTATTTCCCCTTCAACTCCTTGCCGTTCTCCCATTCTAAGCCGTTCAATTGGCCTAGAAAACCATTTTAACGCTTTCCAAATCCGTTTTCCTCCCATTTTCAGCCATCTGTTTTACCTGTTTTTAAGAGATATCCATTAGTGTACGTTTTCCCATACAAGGTCACAGGTCATTCATTTGTAATGATTGTTCCAGTCGGATAAGTGGATTAACTTCCTTGTGATGAACAATGTTTGATGATATTTTCTGTCCTCAGATCTTCCTGTACGAGAACAAAATGTTAAACTCATTGAGTCTAGGTCACATAATAAACTCCCAAAATTAGGACCTTTAGTGGCATCTGTCCATTGATGTCTAACAAATTCATGTCTTTTTGCAGGTAATCTTTTTGAAAGAACTAGTTGGTTTCTCTTTACACTTTCAACTTCACCAGAAAGATGAGTTTTTTAAGGTTTGTAGAAATCATCTCATTTTAGCAAACAATTAATGGCTTAAATAGTAATAAAATATTGCCCTATTTATTCTCACTTGCATAAGCAGCGAGGCTCATAATCTGCAGGCCATTTTTTTCCGTTCATATTTAGTACACAAAAAGGCCATTCTGGTCCCAGGCATTCCTAGCGGAGATGGTGGAAACTGGGAATAAGAATCGTTGCGTGACTGAAGCCTTGCATGTTTTGCGAAGAAAGCTTAGGTTTAGAGCTAACACGCGTACTAAATCAATTCCAAAACAAATAAAAAGTAAATATCCAGAACTAGGAAGTGAAAAACCTTTAGCGAGTAAATCCTGTTTTGTGTAGAATTAATCACCTCCTCATTTCTCGATCTAATCTTCAAGCAAGCAAGACTTAACGCCGCTGTAAGACCAATCTTGCTAGTACCTATATTGCTGATATCCTGGACCTTATTTTGTTTAAAGAGTCTTGCTCCTGAATAAGCAATTAGTTTATAGAACAAGGAATCATGCTGCTTATCTCTTTTTCATGCATTAAGTATGTTATTCATCGATGCACCACTTGTATGACTCATCACCACCATTTGCATGACTCATGCAAATTGTACTACTTGAAAGCAAGCTCCCTGTCTGCACTAGTGAGATGCAGTTTCACCAGTTGTATGTCAGCTAGAAAGGGCTGCCAGGCTGATAGCATTGCACCAAATCTGCCAAAGCACCTGACTTGTCCCCAGTAAGCTCATCATATGTAGGCGGTCGTGGGATGATCAGGGAAGACTATTACAGCACTGCTTGCCGGCGTCTTCCACAGGCTTACGTCATAATGTTTATGAGAGAGCCGGGAAGACAACTGGGAACTTGTCAGCTTATGCAGTGGTTCTGGGGCATCGATTGAATTTGTGATCATTGTCACTTTATACTGTGCTGCCTGAAACCCACTCTTCACCTCTCTGAGAAGTTTTAACATCTAAGCTCAGTTCCAACAAATCTGCATCATTTATCCCCAGTAAAGTCTTGCACATCTAAAATCACCATTGAAGACATGAGTTACAGATAAGAATCTCAACCATTCTCGCCAGTTTTTTTTTCAATTGCCTTCCAAAGAAAAGCACAAATATTTGATGCCAAAAGCATTAAGGCATAGTAACTTAGGTAATCAATTATAATGTTTTATCTGTGTATTGTTATTCCCTCAGGCACTTACACACCATGGTTTACTTCCTGCCCTAGAAATGCTGCTTGTAAGTATAAGTTTACTAAGCTCCAGTAGGATAATAGAAAAGAGCATCCAAGTACATGCTATCATGGGATATACTGATGTTTTTGTGATTGGGAACTTACTTTATCCATAAGGAAATTGAAAAATAAAATGCTCAGGGTTACACTTGTGTAATTTTATCTACGGGGTGTGAAGGTAATTGGCCGTGGGGTTGAAGGTTGACGATTCACCTCAGGTGCTAAATCCTAGTTTCGCTGGCTGTTGCTGTTGTCCTTTTGTTGTTGTTGTTGTTTGTTGTTGTTGTTGTTGCTTGGCGGGTGTATCATCTCTTGCTACTGAAGAGATCAATTTTCGGAGTTACAATCTCTGTTGCAAAGGTGACATCTGTGTAAAGTCCTTGGTCTGTTGGAGTTATTGAGCTTCTTTCTGCTCGCAACACATTGCTAGTGGTAACCTTGCATTTAACTTATCATTCCCTTAGCCAGGTGTGGGAACCAGGGAAGGGAGAGTCAAAGTAGCAATATTATGGCTCATAAACAGGATTAAGCTCCAGTCATGTTGTGATGCTTGGTTTGTAGGTGAGTGACAATGAAGAGCACAGGCTGGCATCTGTAGAAATGTTCTCCCAGGTTGTTGACATCAGTCCTTACCTTGTGAGGGATTTCATCATGAAAGAGGCACAAACACAAGAGGAAGTGAGTACTTTTTCTGAGCATTTTGTGGCAGGCAATGTAGTTCCCAGTTTCCCAGCGTCAAAGTTGGATGTTTTGTGGGTAAATGCGGACTGTTCTCCAGTTGAACCAGTACTTAGCCAGGTAATATCCCTAATAAGTAGAAGACAGAGGAGGACAGAATTTACCCACAAATTATAGATACAAGTTACAAGGTGTGCAATGTTGTATCACATGTCCGGTCCTTAATGGTGTCTCTTTAAACCCAAGCACCCATCTATGATAAAAACTTGGGCAGATTCAATTAAAATAAAGTTAATAATAATGATAATAATAATAATAATAATAATAATTATTATTATTATTATTATTATTATTATTATTATTATTATTATTATTATTATTATTATTATTATTGTTTTACACACAGGGATTTTGTCATTTTCACTATATTTATAAACCTTTAATTTCAGTAGTAAGTCGTTGCCACTGTTATGTTTTCTAAGTGGGTAATTTTATTTATTGGATTTCTTTCTTTAGGACATGCTTATTAATCATATGATAGATTACATGATATGTGATGGAGATACAGGTCAGTGGTTGATAAGATTATTATTATTATTTTTGTTGTTGTTGCTGTTGTTGTTGTTATTTATCAGCCTCTGTTACTCTTACCTCTGCATAAAATTTGAGGGCACAAAGTATGTTCTAACTTGTTTTGTTTCATTGTAGGAAATGCTTACCAACTCTCTCAGCTGATCAGAACATTACTTGACCCAGAAAACATGGCCCTAGGAGCGAATGTAAGTGCTTTCTTTGACAGATAAATGTTTGGCTGCTCTGCTGTGTGGGCATTTACAACAGTGATTTTGTTACAAATAGTTATGGTGAGTTCTGGGACTCATCATGTGCAGTTTTTATTCTAGACTAGGTCATTTCCGGATTCCAGCATTGGGAGAATGAGGAGACGATGGCTATGAAGACAATGAAAGATACACTCCAGCTCAAAAGAGAAAAATTATGTTACACTAAGCACTTACACTACCTTGGTTGGGCTATATTTCTTGAAAAGGGAGCCCTTTACAATTATTTTAGAAGACTGCTCATAACCCTGATTGGCCACCCTGTTTTAGTTCAATTGAGAATAGCGTCTAAAAATGATACCCTGCTCTTTTTTCTGCAGAAAATGGAGAAGTCTGAATTCCTGAGTTTCTTCTACAAACACTCTATGCATGTTTTGACAGCACCCCTTTTTGCTACGACGTGTGATGACAAGCCAAGCAAAGGTAAATAGTCACTGGTCATTACTTTACATGTGGCTGGCCTATTGGAAACCTCCTTGGAAATCCTCCTGTTTCTACCCATTCTCAGGAAAACTCCTAGAATGTAAGTTTTTATTGATTGGTTTGGCATTGGTGAAGGAATAGACACTGGTGACTTCGGAAAATTAAGATTATTTTCGACCATTCGTGCATTTCACTTAATCAGTGGATTGTGTTATAACACATGGCCAAGGCTTAGTTGGACAGTTTCATATGAGTTATTCTGATTATTTTATCAATCTGAGCCTCAAGTTGGTGACTTTGTTTACAAGAATGCAGGGTGGTCTGTTAAGAGCATTCTGTTGGTAGTAAAATGTGCAATTTTGTTTTGCGGGTGTTCATGGAATAATGCTGTCAGTGATTCTTGATGTTAAGTCCCAATATCCTTTAGTTTCAGAAACAAAATGCAAGGAAGTTTGTTTACTAGGATTTAATCAAAAGTCATGTACAGCTCTTTTCCATGTCTCTTCATTTTTGAGCTGAAAAACTCCCGGAATTTCTCTCTCAGCAGTATGGACCCTGTTAAATGTATCTGTGATGAGCCATTCTCTCAATTTTTTGCAGATGACTATGTTAACAGTGTGACACTTGGACACATCCTTGAACTTTTGACCTTCTGCATCGAGCATCACACATATCACATAAAAAACTATGTCATAAATAAAGACCTCCTCAGAAGAGTGCTAGTACTGATGAAGTCACGTCACAAGTTCCTGGTGTTAAGTAAGTTTACTTTTTTACTTAAATCATGACATTCATTTTCAACACTGTGACAGGGAATGAAACAGGAATTGCATCCTTTGATATCAACCTCTCAGTTACTCACCCAGCCCATGAAGGGTTAACCACAAGTCTGGAGTCTATGTCCCCTACTCTCTTCTAACAGCTGTGTGTATTTGTTTGAATCCCATGTCAATCAGAACAGGGGAAGTGTTGTGAGATGGAACTGCAATGGAGGTCAAAAGTGTTGGGACCTTTCCAGTGATATTACTAAAACTAGTGACCCCTCCCCTCCCACCCCAAACAAAGTTGAATTTGGAGCAAAATGGGTGAAACTGAGTGCTTTTCTGGCCACAACATTGCTAGGGGAAGTGGGGGCGGGGGGACGACAGGGTGAACCCAAAGCCGCACAAAAAATTGTCCTTAGGAGCAGAGTCCTACAGGACTATTGCTTGGAAGGGCTTTTTCACACAGTCCCAAGTTCTTTTGTCCTCCATTGTAGGATTGTTAGTCTTAGTCTGGTCATTAGAGAGTTTATTATAAGCAACCATAATGGTGACAGCAAAGAAAATGTCAATTAAGAGGTGAATTTGGGCTGTTTGTGTGCAGTTTGTTAATACCAGACAGAAGAATCACTTGGGACACTACATTTTGGAGAACCTCGACTGCGCAGAGATCATTTTTCTATCGTGCAATAGTATCATAGAATAAGTTAAACGAGGATACTAAGAACAGCTTGAATGTTGATCTATTGTGAACATTGAACATTGTGCCTGTAGGGAACTTTGGGCATCTATACTTTGACTTATGTGATGTTTTTAGGATCATATCTATGTTAGTTCATCTTGATAACTTGTAGCAGTTTTTTAAGATTATTGTAATTTTTATTATAAGGTTTCTTCTGATGATTGTAAATTAACTTTGAAATTTCCAATTTGGGATATGTTAATAAACTTATTGTATTGTATCTTATTGTAAAGGTGCACATGAACCAAAGGCTCAAACGGCCGGAGCTAATCCCAGTTTCTTTAGCATGAAGCATGCCCAGGAGTATTGCTACTCTCCCCTGGATGGGATGCTAGTCCATGGCTATGGGGGGGTGGGGGGGCTTTTAACTGGATGTATTTTTTTGTTTACAGGAAGATGGGCCTAAAACTGGGACGGGGGGAGGGAGGGGTAAAAGGGTACGTTTACCATGGACCTTTCATTTTCTTATTATTTGACAGAAAGTCATTGGTCTATGTAACCAGCTGACTCCCCTTCCATCCCTCCTCCTCCCGCTCAGCGCTCAGGTAACATTTTGTGTACACTGGCAAATGAGAAAAAAATGTTTGCTAACTTTAACATTTACATTTTGTGTTCCCTTCGTTAGACTCACTTCGATTTCTCAGAAGAATAGTTGGACTTAAGGATGAGTTTTATAACCGCTACATAGTCAAGGGCCTGCTGTTTGAGCCGGTAATTTGTGCATTTAAAGAGAATGGGCAAAGATACAATCTGCTGAATTCAGCCATTGTAGAACTGTTTGAATTTATCAGAGCGGTGAGTATGAAATGTTAATAAGACATGATTATAATAAGTGATTGTATCTAAAAGTTGTTCTATTTTATTTTTGTCACACTATATTCTAGAATTTTTTCATGTTCAAATCATTTCGTCTGTTGAAGATGGTAGTTCAGGCAGTCGGAAGCTTGTATTTTATAATAAATTTTTCAAATTATGTTTGAAATATCACTGAAGTGTAGAAAGTACTAGTTTTGCTCTGAGATCAAAGGAAGAACTCTTCATCAGCAGAAATTCCTGTTGATGAGGGTATCAAATTTTTTATAAGACCCTTTCGATTGTTCTTCTAGGAGGATATAAAGAGTTTGTGTACCCATGTTTGCTCAAAGTACACAGAGTTCTTTAAAGATGTCACTTATGTCAGTACATTTAAAGGGCTTCTGCAGAGGGATGAACAGGAGAAAGACAGAAAACAGAATAACAGAATCCTTGAAAGGTATGTTTGTCAGCAGATCTGGTTTTTAAGGATGTCAACACTATTTTCAACAAAGATCTTTTTTATGCCCATAAATCACTGCCAAGTTGGTCGAAGCATGATTAGTTTTAATCCTGGGTTAACTGGAAACAGAGTAAATAATTATTGTAATTAGATGAGTGACTTATTTTCAGTTTTTTGAACCTTGTGAATATTTTTAGACTGTTCACAGTCCCCTGATTTTTCCGTAACCTCATCAGCATTGAGTGCTTTTTGTTACGGGCAGCCATCTTGGTTTCAGTTGTTCTGAGTTTCACCTGGGGATGAGTGTCACCCTGACGCCCTCCCCCTTGGTACATATGAAAGCAAAATGGCCGATTATACCAGTAAGTGCTCAATCTGGAAGATCTTACAAAAAAATAGTAGATTGTGAACAGTCTAGATTAGTTTGGACTATTCACTCGAGTGCGTCTTGGACATTTGCTACCTGGCAATTTATTGGTCAAATGGTTGATGCTGGTAGATGATGATGATGTACTTGGTCTTTGTGACATTACAGTTAACACCTGCATAAAAGAACCAACTTTATTAAGTCTGGCAAAATAGCTTCTTGTATTTTGGGGTACTTATTGGCAATTAAGGCTAAGTAGGTTCTTAATTTTTATGAAGGAGACCAATAGATTGTTCATTTGCAGAAAAATAAAACAAAAATTGGGTTTGGTCCTTAAAAAAATATAGTTTGCAATTGTATTATTGTAACCCTAACACAACTGATAACTGAGTATGTATGCAGTTTGGTACACTTACAGTAATGTTCTTTTTATACTTTTATTACATCCACTTTGAAATCACTGGCTATCCATGCAATCTGATTGGCTCTCAGCGGTGTGATTTATTCCTAAAGCGCACCATTTTTTGCTCTAAATCGCATCTGTTCCAAATCGCATCATTCATGTTCTAAATCGCATCAATTCTGTTTTAAATCGCACCATTTTTGTTCTATATGGCATCATTTCTGTTTGGAATACAAAATGAGATGTAAAAGCCTTTTTGTTTTGGCTTTTTAACAAACTGACTACTTGATCAATAAAATATTAGTACTGACTAAATTCTGCGATTTCAAAATGGAAGTAATATAGTGGTAATTGAACTTCGTGTCGTGCAATTTTGGTCTGGAATCATACTTGTGATTTCGAATCGAACTCGCGCTGCGCGCTCGTTCGATTTTGAAATCCCGCATATGATTTCAGACCAAATTGCACTCCACTCAGTTCAATTACCATTATAAATTTACAATCTCAAAGTAACTCCTTGGTTAAATTGTTTATCATTACCCACATATAAAAACCTGCTTGGTCTTGCGTGGCTTAACAGGTTCTTGTATTTTTGGGTATAAGGTGGCAAATTTCTGCCAGGAGGATTTTAATCCACAGGTTCTTATATGCGGGTGTTTACTGTATATCACTGACTTTTACTTGCAGCAGAGGTGGCATGAACCATGGAATCATTCATGTGAACAGCCGGTTCAGACGAGATGTGCGCACGCTGGAAGAGGAAGAAGAGCATTGGTTTGATCAGGAAGATGAAAATGGAGAGGATAGTGTCATGATGGAACAGAGTGATCTCCTCTCTGATGACTCTGTGTTTAAGAGTAGAAAATCCTTTGTCAGTGAAAAACCAGCTCAATCAATTGTCAACAACAAGCGGGTAAGTGTGGTAGCTATTTATTTATACATGAGCAAGTTGAAATCAACAATAAAACCAAACCCCCTTTTAGTGTAGTCATGGCTGTATAATATTCAAGTTCAGAATGGTGAGAATAAACTGTCAAAACAAGGGGATGAAGATTAACATCTAATAACAAATTAAAAGTATGCCTCATAATGAACAAACATGTCTACCAAACATATTATGTTCTAGACAAAATATGAGCAGGAGATCTGTATCAGAAGTTAATGAATACTTATTGGCTGAGTAAGTTTTTGTAACAGAAGTTAAATGATCCTGTTTAAAAATTCGTCAACCCAGTTGATTTGCATTGGAACTTACAGAGGTGTTCATGTGACTCAAATACCTCTTCTGGATTGCTATACAACATATATGAATAATTAACAAAATTGCAGATAGCGAAAAAAAACTGCTTGCGAACAGGTTTTCAAAATCCACGATTTCAGTCTGTTTTAATCTTCAGTGTTGTTCGTCTATTCCTTCTTTTGTATTATTTTGTTGTGTTATGTGATTTGTTGGCAAGAGCCAGCTCATATGAAGATTCAGTATCACAGACGCTTGTAACAAAGCCATTTGTTGTTTTTTGAACAGCCATTAATTGGCCTTGTCGATTACCCTGATGATGAAGAAGACGATGAGGAGGAAGATGCCACCACCAGTCCCGCCAAAAGAGCTCGACTAAATGCCTCCTAGCATTTGCTTACATGGGCTTAAGGGAGCAGGTACAGGTTACCATGGCTACCATAGCAGGCCTCATGGAGTGGAAATGCCAGTCATGTCATATGTCCATCGCAATGTATCCAGAGCGTAAAGATACCCCAAAGTTGAGCTTTTATGTCCCCTGGGAAGCTTGATCACTGTGCACATGCTGTAGTTTTTGGATTTTATTTTATTTTGTTTACCTCTACTGACCTCATTTTAAAGTAATTTCTTTTAATTTTTCACATTCTAACTACATTGTTGGGGCTGATTAGCATGAATATAAACAAATAATAATTTATTGGCTGTCATGCGAGTGGTATAATATTTTTCATCTTGTGGTATAATATTTTTCTTCTTGTTGTTTGTTGCTTTTGTATTGTGGTGTGGACATTGTTAGTCTTTTCAACATTGGTGGCTGAAAACTGGACAGTTCAGTTCACATAAAATTGATGACTTCAAAGAGTATCCTTAAGAAGTGCAAATGCGCAGTATCTTTTAAATTATTATTATGACCGAATATACATCCCTCTCCCACAGTTTCTAATGCTTAGACACCGTCTCGTGGTATAAAATTTTTGGATATTTTAAGATTTAACCCCCTTACACCTGAGAATGTTCATGACGAAAGAAGTTTATACTTGGGAACTAATGACAACATTATGAGGCTGGCCTCAATATATTCATATTGTGGTAAACAAATAACTACATATACAGTCATATCCAAAAACTACAGCAAATTGCAAGCACTTCAGAGATAAACTGCGTCGTGATGATTACAGCTGTTTCGAGAAAGGTTGTCGGAAAAGGTGCACGCGACAATCCCTTTCTCGAAGTAGCTGTATAAACTTACCTTTATTTTCTTTTAGTCCTGCACGTCTTCACTTTCTTTCTCGGTAGAAAGACACGCACCCTTTCAAAACTCGTGGCCTGCAAGCAAACTGTCTATTTTGAAATCGCGCGAGTGAGCTACGAATCTCGCGCGTGAGCTTATTGTCCGTTGAGCACCTACAACTCGTGGTCATCACTTTGTACTCTTTTTTAGCGGAATTGCGCGTGTGTCGCGTAAGAGCGTTTTGTCACTGAATTGCCTCAAACAGTAACCAACGATCAAGCCGCCCGAGAATAATTTCCATGATAAAGAGATAATACGTTTTTAGACTTTAAATTATTCATCATAGACTTATAACTTGACACCTTCAGGGGAATTGTTACAGCTGACCCGCCGTCATGAAATGTTTTTAAGCCTGCAATCGAGCGTAACTCAGTTGCACATTTTTAACTCCGAGTTTGTGTACAGATTTTTTCTTTGTAAATTTAAAATCCTCGAAATAGTACCTTTGATTACGATTACTTTAATACCAGACCTTCCCTATTTTGCATTTTGCTTTAGAAGTTTCTGTGCAACAGTTAGCCTCATAAGCAGGGGGTGTTTATGTTGCGTGCTAATCACCAGTCACGATTACACCTTCTATAGTAGTTTTTGCTTTCACAGGCACACTTTGTAACTGAATTTTTTTTTCCAGTGAAAAAGCCTGTTAAGAAACTACGTCTAGCCCCTTAAATTTGGTGCGCTAAATAAATCTTTCTAGTATTGATATCCAGATCTCTGACATATCCATCATAAAATCCTAAGGCCATTTCCTTTAATGACCAATTCAGTAAATGAATAGCTATCATTACAGGCATGAGCAAAGAGTAATTTTTAAGTCGAGTTTTGCCAAGCGATTTTTAGTTAGTTTATGAGTGAATTCTCCTTTTCTTTGTATCTTTCGTTCATGCACGCAATATTCACCTCCATGCAGTTTTGATCCTTTAAATAAAAGACAAGCTACCAAACATTCCTGAAATTCCTTTGGGTTGTAGAACGGGATTACCGAGTGAATTTAACTTAATATATATTCTCTATACTTTGTGGGTATTCGTCGTGTTTTATGAAAGGATTCTTTAGTTCTTAAGTTAACAACTCGTAGAAGTATTTTTACAGATGGCAGGTGTTTTCAATGAAAGTAGTCTAAAACGAAAAGTATGTAGATGACGCCTCTATTTGTCAAACTAGTGTATTTATATCCCGCAAAGTATTTCATTAAACTGGACTTAAGAGTTATCGATATTTTTGCTTGGTTTATTTTGTCGTAGTTTCTTAGTGAATAGAGACGCTAGTTAAGGGGTTGATCACTTGAGCGGGACTAGCTTACTTTGCCGAGTGCGTTTTACCCATGTTTTACATGAAGCAAACCTGCCCGAAGCCTTCATGTTTACGATGATAACAGAGATTGAAACTTTGCGCATGAGCAGTTGCTGGTTTGGCTCCAGCGAGCGTAGTAACATTTGAGAGGTTTAAAGCATCACGTTTACGTCAAACGGCAAACGTGAATTTGTAACACGTGTCCAAGTTTCATCTATACTTGTCGTTTACTGTTCATTATCCCTACACAGAAATTAATAGTTTCACTCAATATTTGTCCATATGAACTTTTTTGAACTGTTTTTATCTGCTCACTTTCTATTTCGAGAGATTCTCAGCTTGAATCAGATGTTTGCCTTATACGTGAAGCTTAAACTCTATTGCAAATTTCCAGCCCAGTTAGCCGGGATCGGGCTTGTTCGGTTATTTTGTGATCTGAAAAGTCGATTTTTGTTGCGTTTAATCAACGTGCCGAGATCTCGAGGAAAAAAAAACCTTAATCTCCTAGAGGTCCCCTAAGAATTTATCTGGACCTGAAGTTACTCAGTGAAAGATTAAGCTTTTCGGATGGTCAACTAAGACGTGACATACAGTGGGCACCACATGATGTCTTCCTTTGCCTAGTCCCTGGGCCTCATTATTCCGTGCAGCTAAGGTATTTGGGTCACGTGGTCCAAGCGAAGTTTCCCGCCCGTTCGCCTCGGTTACGTCACTGAACGACTCACTGAACTGCATTGACGAACAGGGACTAGGCAAAGCCGCTGACTAGGAAAGGACCATTTACTAAAAGGAGAGAGGGCAGAGAACAGAGCTCCAGTTACGCGAGAAATATTTTTGCACCTGCAACAAGCTAGCTACAGGTTTTATGGTAGCCTCTGAACAGGCTAGTTTTATGGTTTTTAGTTTTGTATGGAGCTTTTTTCCATCAGTATTTCACGCACGAATTTCCAGGCACTTTTGTCCTTTAAAACTGGCAATGTTGACATTAAAATTAAATAGACAAAAATTTTTCCTGGTATGTGCACTTTTAGACCATAGAAATGTTCAAAACTTTGAGGTGAAACCACTCACCTGTGGCTCGTACTTCATATTAAATTTTGAGCATTTTTACGCTATTTCTATGGTTTCTTAGAGTATAAGAACGTGTAGAATTGTCGCCCAGTTGTTAAATTCAAGCAAGGAACCATGAAGGACCTTTATCCCCTCTTAGGGCCTGTTTACATGGAGGTGGGGGACCCCAGGTACAGGTCAGGTAACCCGCTTCGGTGGGGTAAAATTGCTGGGAAAATTTCAAAACGTTCTCAAGAATTCAAGATTCTGTACGAATCTGAAATCTTAAAAGCATTTAAGCCTTGTGGACACTCTCATCAGTGGGAGACAGAGTGAGGAGTCATTCAGTTCTTAACAATCCACCGTACGGAAAAAGATGGCGGCTGTACATTTTATATACCACAATTCCTTTCGAACCTAACACGGCCAATGAAACGATAAACATAAAGTCATATGATAAAGTCATATTTGTTTTGACGAAATTCGTCCCTGTGATAGCACCATTGCGTATCCTAGGTTTGAAGTTTATAAAACTTTTCTGCGCGTTTTTATGAGCAATTTTAAGGTTTTCATGCGCTAAGAATTATGGGTAAATGATTGGTGCCAACAGTTCCATGGTCCACATACTCCGATAACCATATAGCTCTCGTCCAATCAGCGAGCAAGAATGTTGATTGATAAAAAATATCTATGGGCGATGGAAAATTTTAAAAAAACAACATTTGCAGTTGCATAGCATTTGTTTTGAGTTAAAAAAATATGGTTAAGGGGATTTTATTTAGTGTCTTGGCTTTATTTCGGGAAGTATATATTTCTCGTGGTATTGGAGTGGACAAGGATTCCCAGCTATTAACTTGTGATCAACAGGTTGATATACAGCGCAGCAGGAGGTTGATAGGTATTTCCTAGAGTCACAAATTCGCTACAAAACAGGTGATTCGTTGGTACTGGATTTGTTATTACGGGTTTACCGCATGCTTGCATGCTTCAAGTTTTACTTCTCGATAACTTCGGTAGATTTCCAGGAAATCACTTTTATCTTTGTTTTTGACAAAGCCGTTGGCTTGTTTTCTAATATCTTCCAGCGAATTCATGCGGAAGATATCTTTTATTTTGGATAAGGGTATATTTATCATTGTGGTTTTGAGTGTCTCCTGATTTTCAGATGTTCATTTTTAGTTGTGACTTTTGCAAGTTTCTACATGTTTTAGTTTGAAAATGCCCCCTTGGATTTTCTGGTCACGTCTGTAATTGATTTACGGAAATGCAGTTGATGCCATGCGACTTCTGTATTGCTCGCCTTGTTTCAGTATTGACTGAACAACCTAGACTACGAAATGAAATTTAATGAAAGAGAATTGCAGTGGCAAAACAAACAACTTGAAGGTTTTATGCAAATGAGTCTTCCCTGACCAATCAGAATGAGCCACATGCAAGCTTTAACCCGAGTCAAGCGGATGGATTTACAGGTCATGTTGGATAACCATAAAACCAAGGTGCGGTAGCGATAGCGAGAGAGAGATTTGAATACGTGAGATTAGCACTGACTTGCAGGGAAGAGACAAGCCTCGTGTTTTGTTGGTTAAGAACTGGTAGTTCCCCTATAGAAGTTCTTCAAACAAGAGTAAGGTGCAATGACAATAGACTGTACTATACTGTACTGTACTTTCCTATGCCATGCTATGCTATATATGTTATGCTAGGCTATGCCATGCTTGCTGTGCTGTGGTATGATATACTGTGCTATGCCATAAGACATTCTATGCTATGCTGTAGGATAGATTCTGTGCTATAACATGCCATGCCACGCATGCTGTGCTATGCTATACTTTCATTTCATTTCATTCATTCATTCATTCATTCATTCATTCATTCATTCATTCATTCATTCATTCATTCATTCATTCATTCATTCATTCATTCATTCATTCATTCATTCATTCATTCATTCATTCATTCATTCATTCATTCATTCATTCATTCATTCATTCATTCATTCATTCATTCATTCATTTAATTATTCGTTCATTCGTGCATGTGTTCATTCGTTCACGCCTTCAACAATAGCTACTAAGTGGAACTCTTCGTCACAAAATCGTTAAATCAACCAAATTTGTCTGGCCCAAAGGTGAAAACACAATTAGTTTTCATAGCCTGTTTTCTTGTTAACGGGATTCTCTTACGTAACCAAAAGACCGTTTAGTATGTAAATAAATGAACGCGATATAACCATCTGTACGCATGGACTGTTCACTGAACGACCAAATGACAGTGAACATTGTTTTCATGTTTTAGCCGAAAAGGAGGGTCTAAAAAATGGAGGTACCTCGATAACACTAAACACTTAATCTTCTGGCTTTGTAACATGAAACAGTTAAATGTTAGGCATTTTAACACTAACAGTGAAAAATTCTTGAAACAGGAAATTGTTTCCAGAAAGAAGCAAAAACGGCCCCAAAAAGGCCAATATTATTTTGTTTTGTAGCTAGAAAGTTTGATAGTTAACGTTCCCTGTGGGGCAGACGGATGGGCGGTCGGTCGGGCTATCGGGCGGACATACGGTCACTTGATTACTGAAATTTCTCGGATGGATAGATTACCACATTTTCTTAGGTTTGAGGTGAAGCAAAGCGCGGGTGTGGAGCTCCGCTATTATGCAACTGATAATCCCAGAAAGGGTGAAATGGATAAATAGCTTATTCTACGGTATAATGAAATTAACCCACAGAAGGGTCCAACGAACTTATCAATGATCTTTCTATTTTTCTTTAGAAAAAAATACTTTAATAACGCAGTCCAATGATAAAAACTTTGTAGCGTCAGAAAGTCGTAAAACTGGCAATATCTTTCACTACTTGAACTGTCTGATTGCTTCCGCTTTCTGAATTTCGTGAACAAACAATAACGGAAAAGGAAACAGCTTTATGATTATTTTGGCGCCGGCTTAAAAGAAAGCTGTTATTGTATACATGGCATGTCTAAACGTTATAGTTCCGCTCCAGACACTCAGATTTTTAAAAAAAAGACAGTATATAAAGCGTACGTGGCCTTGGATATCGCAATCTGAATGAGGTTTCATTTTTTTTTTGTAGTTCAACCATGTTTATCGGATTTGATTCTAGAAAATTCTGTTCAAGTACTAATATACAAGCCGATGCTTTCTCCCTTGTCTCTGGCGGTGGGCACTTACCAGGTGGCCGGGGGTCGAGGAAGAATTGAAATCATAAATCCAAGAGATCCTGATGAAATCTCCTCTTCCGAGGGGAAATAGAATCCTGTTGGATGGCCTAAAGACCTGGAAGAGATGAAATTAAACTGATTTCCCCGGCAATTGATCATGAGAGGCCTATCCCAGACAATGTGACATTTTTCCCCGTCTTGGGTGTATTCAATAGGGCCCGCTGGCCTGAGGACGGGGGCGATGGAACAAGTACTAACTCGGGTCAGTTACCAAATACATGGGCAAAGTAGAAAAATTCCACTTGGACAAATGGTTCGCCGCACCATTCCGTATGGGCTGTGATTTGAGGCGACGCCATTTTTCAACTCCTTTTGGTCTGTTTAGCTGATTTGGATATACTTTGTAGCGGGTCTTTCTCCCACTGTCAATGAGCAGGTCTTTCTCCCAATGTGAAATTTTACCCCAAGTTTTTATTTAAAAAATGCACAAGATTTTCAACCGGGTGGTTTGTGTGAATTGAATGGTAGCCACTAGTAGGTATGGGACCCGGAGTAGAGAAACCCCGGGAGAGAAACCCATTTAATTATAAAAAGGGGATGCTTGTCGGAAAATTTGAGAGAGACCCACCTGGGCGTTGCTCAAGCTTTGTTTGAAAGACTCTATCCTTACACAGACAGCCAAATGA